CGTGGTCCATCATTTGGGTTCAATGGTCACAGTCGCAATGTGCTTTTTTAGTATTAGAGTTTATATTGCATTCCCTTATAAACGTAACATTCATACACAAACACTTTGTTTAATATCAGTGTAGTAATGCTGACACACGTTCTTGCTTAACAAAGAGCCTTTATTTCGGACACAATGACTAGACCTGGGCTTCGGTTCTTGATGCTTGAACTTCGTCTTCTCGCCAACCATCCCTTCCCCTTGTGCTCTTCCCTAAAATATTCCTCCAGCCCCCTTCCTTGAAGGTTCGCTCTCCCCATTTTCCTCAGCCAATCCTCGTTATGTAACGGTTGCCAACTGTTACCCCAACAGTCCAATCTTGATTTGCAGCTTTCGTGACTGCAGGAATCCATACTCTTTGGTTCTTTCGGTAAAGTCACGTGGGTAGAAATAAAATAAAATAAATCACGACGTTTTGATCGCAACACAAGCGACTGTCATCAGGCGGAACCGATACAGCAGGACAACTGCTGATTTAGGAGAAAGATCTGCTAACAACAAGAGCTTATCAAGTCCACCCTCATTTCCCCACCTTTTACCTTTGAATCTCGCCACCAATGAGTTTCACTCTCTGGCCCTAACCAATCCTCTTTGAGGCCTCCCTGCACCGATTAAAGACCTTTAACACACTGAATGACTTTCCGATTGCATACCTACTGTGTCAGGTAAGTGGTCTTGTTTTTGGTATTTACATTAGTATTTGTGTATGGATGTGTTTTTTTTTAAATAGAATACAAGTTTTGAAATCTATGTTTTTCACCGGGGCAACGCTGAATACGTCCTGCTAGTATATATAAAACGAAATGAATGTAATTAAGGGAACACACGACTTTGTTATGTGGATGCCAGATTGGATATATAACACCATCGAGCGTACGGTACTACATCATGTGCGAGTCGGAATAAGCGGCCGTAATGGCTGCTGCCTCGGCGTAGCATCATCATCGCACAACAAAGCATTGGGATGCTGCTGGATGATGCTTCTAGACACTATCCACCACGCGCCTCAGTTTTTGTCCGGCCCTGCGTTACGCATCATCTCACATTGGTATCGCTGACTGTGCTTTACCCCCATATTATATGTTATTTATCATAACGCGATATTTCGCATAACACGGTGTTCTTCGGGAACGCAACTACCACCGCATTATAGGAGAAGCAGACTCTATCTGGCAGTGGGGGAGCTTCTGCACCGAGGGAATGATTTTTTGATAGGAGACCGCCGCTGTATAAGAAGACACGTGGAAGGATATAGGTGTAGACGTGGCACATTCGTGTACAACATTCCACATCCGTAGTTATTGTCCTAGATTGAAAACTCATTCGAGACTGAGAACTCATTTCTTTCGAACTGCTTGTTGTGTTTAATGTGTTGCCCTTCTCTCGCACCTCCGAGTAGCACGGTTAGCTTACATGCGATTCAAAATAAGTTCGACATACATAAATACATCAGCCTTGATCCATGCAATGCACAGTGTTGCCATGTCTAATGATCTAAGCAATTAAATAATCCGTCTACGATCTTCACACGAGGCACGTTCCCGCCTATCCATTGCTATTTTAAAATGTTATTTTACCAAATAAGGCCCGATTGAGCTGCGTAGTTATTTTTAAGTAAGTGACCTGGCCATCACAAATGATAGCTCAACGGAGTGGATTATCATCATCATCGTGTGGAAATGTATAGCGACGGCTAAATAATCTAAACGCGTGATGCTGATTCTAAATGTGGAGGGAAAAAAACGGACGACCCGGAGAAAAATCAACGTGGAGAGAGACAGACAGACACGCAAACTCCAAATATAGCCTTCATAGACTGTTGGGGCAAGTCCTGTTAGGGAGTAGCAGCACCAAATGAAGGCCGGCACGGCACACGAGGGGGTGGGTGGCCAACACCACGCCCGGCCGCCTTCGTCTCCCCAGTGGCAATGTTTATACATCGCACCAGGTACTCATTTGAGGCTGAGTCGACCTAGGGGAGGACAAGGACCAGTTCAGATAATCGTCACTGATGTTGGCCGTGAGCGGGAATCGAACCCGGGTCGCCAGGTTCGTAGCGCAGCGCGCTAATCGCGAACCTACCACTCCAAACACACTCACCTACACACACACAACAACAACCGCCATTCGCCACTAAGTGGCGATAACGTCACCACGACGTTTGTGCCAGGCTATGTGCACCTTGAGGCCACGTGAAGTGTCGAACGTCCGATGGCAGGAGGTCACGGGGCAGACCCAGATGCCACAGGTCGACTGACTGAGAGGACTGTGCCCCCTATTGTGCCAACTTGCTGTGCTTTAGCCACCCGGCACTCTGCTCGTAGTTGTGAGCAACACTCCTCCGCCCTCCGTTGCTGTTGGAGGGCGACTGTCTCCAACTGCCCAGTAGCATCCTTCACGAGCCTCCTCCACAGATGCCGATCTTGACACCGCTGGTACCAGTCATCAACAAGTCCACTCAGCTCCACATCTTCCTGTACCACATCACTCCATCTCTTCTCTAGCCCGTGCCGCATCCGTTTAGCCCCCTCGATCTGGCCGAACAAAAGCTGTTTGGGCATGCGGTGATTGGACATGCAGACTACATGGTCCAGCCAACGCAGCCTTGTCTGCCGGAGGAACTCACCAATGGGACTTTGTCCAGATCTTTCGAGGATTTGTGAGCTCCTCACACAATCCAGCCTGGTTAAACCCAGGATGGATCGTAAGCAGGCCAGCCTAAATGTTTCTAACCGGCGAAGATGTTCCATTAAGGGGGTCTATGTTTCACAACCATAGAGAAGGGAGGGAATGACTGTGGCCGAGAAAACCTCAAGCTTCGTGCGGAGCGACAGACCAGGTAGCTTCCACACAGCGTTACGCAACCGATGAAAAGATATTGCCGCTCGACTGATTCGGAGTGATACCTCTGCTTTTAAACTGGAGCCGGTCATGAGCACACTGCCCAGAAATGGGAAACTCTCTACTCTATCCACAACTGCTCTATCACCAATTGGGTGTTGTGGGGGTGGAGTGCCCGATGGTACAAAATACCCAGGCAGGTGCTTCGTTTTGGTGGGGCTAATGGTAAGGCCTCACCTCTTAGTGGCACACTCCAGTTTCAGCAGCAGCGCCTTCAACTCCTCCTCTGAGTGAGCCGCAATAATCAGGTCTCGGCATACATAACGTGGTTGACCAATAGAGAGCCATCCCTTGACATCATCCTGGCATCAATCAGCCTCCCATTGTATCTGTACAAGCAATAGATGTTAAATAATGTGGGAGCCAGAGGACATCCCTGTCGCACTCCAAGGTGTACAGGGAATGGCTTTAACTCTCGGCCACGTAGTTTTACCCAGGCCCGCTCGCCATCATGAAGGTCCTTAATGAGCGTGAGCAGAGGGTCAGGGACTCCGAAAGCACGAAGAATAACCCAGAGCCCAGGCCTACTGATGGTATCATAGGCCTTGACCAGGTCAATAAAGCAAAGATGTAGGTTTTGCTGGAATTCCCTACACCTCTGCTGTAGCAGGCAGACAGAAAATATGGCATCTGTGCAGGACCACCCTTTCCTGAAACCGCATTGGGGCTCCGCAAGCCTCTCCTCAGCGTGCCTAGCAAGGCGATGTTGAATAATCCTTGCGACTGAGGAGTGAGATGCCCCTGTAGTTGTTACAGTCTGTGCGGTCCCCCTTCTTAAAGAGGGAGACCACCAGGGCATCCTTCCAATCCTGCGGAACCCATTCAGTGGCTCAGTCTGTTGTTATGATGTAATTAAGGGGAGTCTGCGCACAAACGCCACCCTCCCTCAGCATTTCAATTGGGAGATCAACTCTGCCCCTTGCCTTTACTGGTCTCAGACTCTCGATCGCCTTCAGTACTTCCTCAACAGATGGCACCTCAGCCAGCCACTCACAGGGGGTGACTTCCTCCTCTAATGTTTGAGGCACCGCAGCCTCAGCAGGGTCATCCCCACTTTGTCCCATGATGTTTTCCAAGCTGAGGGATTTCCCCTCCTTCAGGACCTCACAGAAATGCTCAGCAAATCTGCAAACCTGTTCCTGGGGGTCAGAGATTGGATCACCGTTCTTTCCCCTAATGATGGTAATAGGTGTGGTGCTGCAGGTTACTTTTTTGATGGAGTTAAATAAGGCAGACTCCATCTCCTCAGCAACCCGCGACCACCACCCATCCTTGCAGTGCCTCACGGCTCTCCGAACCTCCAAGCGAAGGCTGCGGTAAGCCTCCTCATTCTCCGACGTGGGATGCTGTAGACGATTAGAGTGGGCCTGTCGCTTTTTCTCCACCATCCTGAACACCTCCTCTGTCAGCCAGGGTCTCTGGGGAGGTCTGGACCGCGTACCCAAAGCAGCTATTGCAGCTGCACACACACACTCACCTACATACACAATCTCACCTACACACTCACGTACACAAACTCACCGACACACTCACCTACACACTCACCTACACACCTCGACACTCACCCAGACAAAGATTTCCCCGTGTAGCCTGTAACAAACTGTTGGGGGCTAGTGCTGTTAGTAGCACTATGCAATATAACCATCATTCCCACTATTCTTTGGTTCTTTAGGTAAAGTCACGTAGATAGAAGAAAAAGAATCATACAAAATAAAGTGAATACAAAATATAATAAAAACAAACAAAAAACAGTAATGTAGACTAGCCTGGTTCTTCATCTGAGTGAGTGTGCTGGAAGTCTATAATGTAGACTGTAGCAATGGTTATTAAGCTTAATTAAGAAACAGGCTACAGTCTACATTAGTGGTTTTTTTATTTTTATGTTTTTTATTCACTTAACTTTTTATCGTTATTTTTCTATCTACGTGACTTTACTGAAAGAACCTAAGAACATGAATTCCTGCAGTCAACGAAAGTTTTAGGTCAAAATCATTCCCACTCTCGGTCAAGTCACAAGCAGCCTGATGTCCTTGCATCTAGCAGCCCGCTCGGCTCGTCTCTAGCGCCCTCTGCTGGATTGCTGCTAAAGTCCGCACCACTTAATGCGAGTCGCGGAGCGTAGCTGCTGCTCCGTCTCCTACTGCTCCTGCTGCTGCTCCTGCTGCCTCCTCCTGCTCCTCCTCCTGCTGCTGCTGCAGGGAGTTCGTCCTGCGACTGAACTCCGCCCGCGCCTCCAGCATCAGCTGCCGCCTGTTCCAGGTTGGGGCTTCTCGCTGCGGAAATCACGAGGCCGGGACCACTCCTGCTGCTGCTGCTCCTCCTGCTGCTCCTGCTGCTGCTGCTCCTCCTGCTGCTGCTGCTCCTGCTGCTGCTGCTGCTCCTCCTGCTGCTCCTCCTGCGCCTCCTGTTCCTCCTGCTGCTCCTCCTGCTGCTCCTCCTGCTCCTCCTGCTGCTGCTCCTCGTGCTGCTGCTCCTGCTGCTCCTCCTGCTGCTGCTCCTGCTGTTCCTGCTCGTCCTCCTGCTGCTCCTCCTGCTGCTCCTCCTGGTGCTCCTCCTGCTGCTTCTCCTGCTGCTGCTCCTCCTCCTGCTCCTCCTCCTGCTCCTCCTCCTGCTGCTCCTGCTGCTCCTCCTCCTACTGCTGCTCCTCCTGCTGCTCCTTGCATCCCACTGGGATTTTTTTACACACAGCGTTGGTGCACGGTGCTTTTTTCAGGAATATTTTTACTGTTTTTTTACCATGGATTTTCTGTTTGCACAGTCACATAGTCACTTTACGATGTTTTTCTAGTTCGTGTTTTTTTTTGTTTTTGTGTTTGTTGTGGTTGCACTCGATTCAAGAGAGCCGAATGGCTCACAGGGCTATACCAAAATAAATAAACTAAAAAAAAACTAACTAAACTAAAACTCCTTGTTCCTCCTGCTGCTCCCTCTCCTGCTTCTGCTGCTGCTGCTTCTCCTGCTCGGTTGTTGTCCATCGTTAAGCCTGTGAGCCCGTGCTCGGTATAATAACAACGTTGATGACGATGGCGTCATGATAATAATGATGATGGAATAATGATATTGATCATTATAATGGTATAATGATGATGGAATAATATTGATGATGATGATATAATGATGATTATGACGATAGGAGCTGGAGATGGGGGAGAGAACCCCCTGTTGTGTCAGAATCACAATATTGTATTTGTACTGCAGGAGGAGGAATCCGATTATCTGAAAAGCTCTTTGCTCACAGGTTGTCTAGGAATGGGGCACGGGGTCACAGCAAAGTTATAACAGCGAACGCGATACACAATACACACTATATAACAGCTAACACAAACACAATACGCACGCTATACACGACACACACTACAACACAATACAGCAAAACCTTGGTCTGCGAGTGTTTTGCAAGACGAGCATTTTTTTATATATATAAATTGTAACTTGATAGACGAGCGATGTCTTGTAATACGAGCAGTACGTGAACAGTATAACCCTTTGTCTGCCGAGCGTCACGTGATCACAGCTCAGCCAATGGTGCTTCTCTCTCGCTGTGGGATTGTGGGTAATCGTCTCACTCGTATAGTCAACATGCGTGCGAGCGTATTCCTTGTTACTATAGTTCTATAGTGTTGTGACCAAACGTATCCCTTGTTACTATAGTTCTATAGTGCTGTGACCACACGTATCCCTTGTTACTATAGTTCTATAGTGTTGTGACCACACGTATCCCTTATTACTATAGTTCTGTAGTGTTGTGACCACACGTATCCCTTGTTACTATAGTTCTGTAGTGTTGTGACCACACGTATCCCTTGTTACTATAGTTCTATAGTGTTGTGACCACACGTATCCCTTATTACTATAGTTCTATAGTGTTGTGACCACACGTATCCTTTATTACTATAGTTCTGTAGTGTTGTGACCACACGTATCCCTTGTTACTATAGTTCTATAGTGTTGTGACCACACGTATCCCTTGTTACTATAGTTCTGTAGTGTTGTGACCACACGTATCCCTTGTTACTATAGTTCTGTAGTGTTGTGACCACACGTATCCCTTGTTACTATAGTTCTATAGTGGTGTGACCACACGTATCCCTTGTTACTATAGTTCTATAGTGTTGTGCCCACACGTATCCCTTGTTACTATAGTTCTATAGTGCTGTGACCACACGTATCCCTTGTTACTATAGTTCTATAGTGTTGTGACCACACGTATCCCTTGTTACTATAGTTCTGTAGTGTTGTGACCACACGTATCCCTTCTTACTATAGTTCTGTAGTGTTGTGACCACACGTATCCCTTGTTACTATAGTTCTATTGTGTTGTGACCACACGTATCCCTTGTTACTATAGTTATATAGTGTTGTGACCACACGTATCCCTTATTACCATAGTTCTGTAGTGTTGTGACCACACGTATCCCTTGTTACTATAGTTCTGTAGTGTTGTGACCACACGTATCCCTTGTTATTATAGTTCTGTAGTGTTGTGACCACACGTATCCCTTGTTACTATAGTTCTGTAGTGTTGTGACCACACGTATCCCTTGTTACTATAGTTCTATAGTGTTGTGACCACACGTATCCCTTATTACTATAGTTCTGTAGTGTTGTGACCAAACGTATCCTTTGTTACTATAGTTCTATAGTGTTGTGACCACACGTATCCCTTGTTACTATAGTTCTGTAGTGTTGTGACCACACGTATCCCTTGTTACTATAGTTCTGTAGTGTTGTGACCACACGTATCCCTTGTTACTATAGTTCTATAGTGTTGTGACCACACGTATCCCTTATTACTATAGTTCTATAGTGTTGTGACCACACGTATCCCTTGTTACTATAGTTCTATAGTGTTGTGACCACACGTATCCCTTGTTACCATAGTTCTATAGTGTTGTGACCACACGTATCCCTTGTTACTATAGTTCTATAGTGTTGTGACCACACGTATCCCTTGTTACTATAGTTCTATAGTGTTGTGACCACACGTATCCCTTGTTACTATAGTTCTATAGTGTTGTGACCACACGTATCCCTTGTTACTATAGTTCTATAGTGTTGTGACCACGTGTGTACTACTTATTCACATTCTTAGCTCTTTCGGTAAAGTCACCACGTTGAAGGGAAACAATAAATAATAATATATATAACAATAAAAAATTCTCACGACGTTTCGACCATAACACAAACGGTCGTCATCAGGTGTGTCGGTTTGCATTAATTTATTTATTTTTCAACAGTGTATTTATTTATAAAAAAACGTCAGCGCCACGCGCAGCGATTTGGCAGTTTATTTAGAAGGACTAGTCCATCTATGTTCTGAAAAGAGGAGGTGGGGGGGAGACGTTGTGACCACGTGTATACTGTTTACTATAGTGTTGTGACCACGTGTGTACTGTTTACTATAGTGTTGTGACCACGTGTGTACTGTTTACTACAGTACTATAGTGTTGTGACCACGTGTATACTGTTTACTACAGTACTATAGCGTTGGGTTGTGACCACGTGTGTACTGTTTGCTACAGTGTTGTGTTGTGACCACGTGTGTGTGTGCGTAAAGCATTTTTTTTATTTTGTGTCCCAACTGTTCTTTAGCAACTGTGCTGCAACAATGGACCTCGTGAAGAAAAAGGTTGAAAAGGAAGGCTGTAAGAAGAAGGAGATGATTACGGTGGAAGTCAAAAAGGAAATCATCGACAAGCACGAACGAGGTATGCGAGTGGCCGACATCGCAAGATTTTTTAACAAGTCCACGTCGACGATCTGCACAGTGTTAAAGAAGAAAGAAGTAATAAGGAGGCTAGATGCGGCAAAAGGCGTCACGAGAGTATCAAAGCAACGGCCACCTGTTCTGGAAGATGTAGAAAAGTTGCTTCTCGTGTGGATTAACGAGAAGCAACTAGCAGGTGATACTGTGACCGATAACTTTATCTGCGAGAAGGCAAAGGCCTTGTACGCCGACCTCGTAAGTAAACTGCCAGGTACGTCGACAGAAAACGAAGAAGGCTTCAAGGCGAGCAGGGGATGGTTTGATAACTTTAAGAGGAGAAGTGGCACCCATAGTGTTGTGAGGCACGGAGAGGCTGCGAGTTCGGACGCTAAGGCAGCTGAGGCGTTCGCTGACGAGTTCCAGAAGCTGATGGTTTCCGAGTGTTACCTGCCGCAGCAAGTTTTTAACTGCGATGAGACGGGGCTTTTTTGGAAAAAGATGCCAAAGGGGACCTACATTACAGCAGAAGAGAATGCAATGCCCGGTCACACACCCATGAAAAACCATCTCACCCTCTTGTTGTGTGCTAATGCAAGCGGTGATTTCAAAGTCAAGCCCCTGCTCGTGTATCATTCCGAGAATCCACAAGCCTTCGAGAAATGCAAGGTGCAGAAGAGCCAGTTAAACCTTATGTGGACGTCCAACAGCAAGGCTTGGGTCACTCGTATCTTGTTCGTTGAGTGGATCAATGAGGTCTTCGGTCCTGCAGTAAAGAAATACCTTTTAGAAAATAATTTGCCTCTCAAAGTCTTGCTGGTTATGGATAATGCTCCTGCTCATCCTCCATGCCTTGAAGACGACTTACTGGAGGAATTCGAGTTCATTAAGGTCAAGTTCCTTCCTCCCAACACCACTCCATTACTCCAGCCCATGGATCAGCAGGTCATTTCGAACTTTAAAAAGCTTTACACCAAAGCACTATTTCAGCTATGCTTCGAGGTGACCGAGGGAACAAACCTTACCCTCCGAGAGTTTTGGAAAAATCATTTCCACATCATTAACTGCCTCAAGATCATCGATAAAGCCTGGGATGGGGTCACCAAGAGAACCCTCAATTCCGCTTGGAGAAAACTGTGGTCTGATTGCGTTGAGGGGTTTGCTCATGAACAGGAGCCGCCAGTTGTCGATGAAATTGTGTCCTTGGGGAAGACCATGGGACTGGAGGTGAATGAGGATGACATTCAAGAGCTGGTGGAGGAACATGGCCAGGAGCTGACCACCGATGAACTGATGGATCTGCATCGCGAGCAAAAGCAAGAGGTTACGGAGGAGATCTCGTCTGACGATGAGGAGAAAAAGACGGAGGAATCCCTCACTTCAAATGAGATTAGGGAGATGTGTAAAATGTGGGAAACAGTGCAACATTTTGTAGAAAAGCACCACCCGAATAAGGCTGTAGCAGTGAGAGCGATGAATCTGTTTAACGACAATGCAATGTCACATTTCCGCGAAATCCTCAAAAGAAGGGAAAAGCGAGCATCATTGGATAGGCTCCTTGTTAAAGTCGCACGAAAAGAAAAAGATTCCAGTGAGCCAACTGATAGCAGTGATTCCGTGAGTAACAGTGAAAGTCGTCCTACACAATAACCCTCCTCTCTCTCGTCTCCCTCATACCAGCCACGATTAAATTTAATTGATAAATTTGATTTTTTTATATTAAATTTAAATAAAACAAATATAAAAAGGTATTTTGTATTAATAATTTTATATTAATATTTTTGGGTTGTGGAACGAATCATCTGAGTTTCCATTATTTCTTTTGGGGAAATTCGCTTTGATATACGAGTGCTTTGGATTACAAACACGTTTCGGGAACGAATTATGCTCGCAATCCAAGGTTTTACTGTAAATGCAATGCACACTATACACAATGCACACTATACACAATATACACATGCACAATATACACGATACACACAATACGCAATACCACAACAAACACAAGACACACAATACACATGAAAGAAGACTCTGGCCTTTTTCTTTTTTTATCCACAAGGTAAGGTCTTTATTTCACAGCACGGGTCCACACCTTCATCCTCGCAATCTCTCCCGCAACACCCCTAACTCTGCGACCCACCCACTCACTCACCCACCCACTCATCCACTCACCCACTCACCCACCCACCCACTCACCCACCCACCCAACCACCCACCCACCCAACCACCCATCCACCCAACCACTCACCCACTCACCCACCCATTCACCCACTCACCCACCCATGCACCTACCCGCTCCCTCTCTTAACCTCTTCCTGGCTCCGCTCCTCGTCGCACTCCGTCTCCATCAATTGTCGCCTCTCTCCTACCCTGACCTGGCCTAACCATCCCACCTGATGCTCACCCACTCACCCACCCATCCACCCACTCACCCACCCATCCACTCACTCAACCACCCACCCACTCACCCACCCAACCACTCACCCACACACCCACCCATCCACCCACTCACCCACCCATCCACTCACTCAACCACCCACCCACTCACCCACCCAACCACTCACCCACACACCCACCCACCCATCCACCCATTCACCCACCCACCCACCTGCTCCCTCTCTTAACCTCTGCCTGGCTCCGCCCCTCGTCGCACTCCATCTCCATCAATCGTCGCGTCTCTCTTACCCTCACTTGGCCTTACCGTCCCACCTAACGCTCACCCACTCACCCACCCAACCATTCACTCACCCAACTACACACCCACTCACCCACCCACTCACCCACTCACCCACCCACCCACTCACCCACCCACTTACCCACCCGCTCCCTCTCTTAACCTCTTCCTGGCTCCGCCCCTCGTCGCACTCCGTCTCCATCAATCGTCACCTCTCTCTTACCCTCACCTGGCCCAACCGTCCCACCTGACGCTCACCCACTCACCCACCAACCCACTCACTCACCCAACCACTCACCCATTCACCCACCCACCCACTCACTCACCCACCCAACCACTCACCCACCCACCCACTCTCCCACTCACCCACCCAACCACTCACCCACTCACCCACCCACTCACCCACCCAACCACTCACCCACCCACTCATCCACCCGCTCCCTCTCTTAACCTCTTCGTGGCTCTGCCCATTGTCGTACTTGATCTCTACCAATCGTCACCTCTCTCTTACCCTCACCTGGCTTAACCATCCCACCTGACGCTCACCCAGACCTCCGGCTCTTTTCCCTTTTGAATGTTCCGGCCAATCCTCTTGCTCCCCGTGCCTAACCAATCAGATTGAGGAGTGTTTGCTCCGGCCTTCTTGATTACTCTCTCCCAGGGATCATGTGGGACAATCACAAGACACAATACACACGAAACATACTTTACAACACAATACAATGATACCTGCTCAATAAAGTGGCTGATATCATCATCATCTCGCCTGGTATACAGGAGTGGGTTTGATCCGGACCCAGACGTCTACTGTATATTTGGAGTTTGCGTATCTCTCTCTCCCCGTGGTGGTGACGTGGGATTTTCTCCAGGTTCTCCCTTTTTTCCCTCTAACATTTATTATCAACATCACCACACCTTCAGAGTATTTGGCTGCAGCTATAAATTTCCACGTGATGGTGATAAGCCCACTTGGTTTAGCTATCGTTTGTGATAGCCAGGTCGCTTCTGAAAGATAGCTACACAGCTCAGCGGGGCCTTAGGTGGTAAAATAGAAAATAGTTTAGTTTTAGTATGGTTAACTACTTAATGATGATAATAGCCACTTCTTTAAGCTATCATTTGTGATAGCCAGGTCGCTCAGTGGGGCCTTACATTCGTGAGCATGTGGTTCCCTGTGTCTCTCAGCTCAGGATGTCCGAGGTTCTTTTGCCTGAAGAAGGGTCTCTGCTCATCAAGCGAGAAGCCGCGGGACATCTGGGCTGTGAGATGTCACACGGAGTGGACGTCCGATGGGAGGACGACGCCACTGCCGCTGCTGCTGGTGAGTATCTCTCTGAGTTTTCTTTGCGCTGCAAACCCTCGGTGAGTGGCAGCATCGGGGAGTGAGGTTGACACATCACATGCTCAGCACTGCACCATTGCTACCCATAGACTCAGCACTGCTACCCATAAACTCAACACTGCTACCCATAAACTCAGCACTGCCACTCATAGACTCAGCACTGCCCATACAATCAACACTGCCACCCATGAATTCACCACTTCCACCCATAGACTCAACACTGCACCATAGACTCGGCACTGCCCATACAATCAGCACTGCCTACAATCAGCACTGCCACCCATAGACTCAGCACTGCCACCCATAGACTCAGTACTGCCACCCATAGACTCAGTACTGCCACCCCTTGACTCAGCACTGCTACCCATAGACTCAGCACTGCTACCAATAAACTATCATTTGTGATGGCCAGGGTCGCTCATTAAATAAAAGCGCTACACAGCTCAATGGGGCCTTGTACCCGGTAAAATACAAAAAATAACATTACCCTATCCACAAATAGTAAGGAGACATTACGGTGATTATGTTGATACACTACTCTGCTTGGTCCTGATTCTAGTTGTTATCTGGGCTTGATCACCTGAATGTGAAATTGCATCTACATCAGCAGCCGTACGGAAGACAAAGAGACTCATAGAAACCCACAGAGATCCAGACCCATAGAGATGCACAGCAACTCGTAAAGATCCAGAGACTCATAGAAACCCATGACTCAGCGACTCATAGAGACTCATAGAGACACACTGAGACTCGGAGACCCATATTTACTCATAGAGATCCGTGAAGACTCAGACTCAGAGTCTCGCATATACCCAGGCTTAGAGACCCATAGAGATCCATAGACGCATAGAAACCCGTAGAAAGACATAGATCCATAGCCTAATAGACATCACAGCGATGATGATACACTGCTCCGCTGCTCCTAATGCAGTTATCTGCTGGCTTGACCACCTGCAATTGTAGTCAATGCTGCTCTGCATCTACATGAGCTAGCCATCAAATAAAATAATATCGTTTCTGTATTGTACAATGTCTCTGCGTTTGCTCCTTTTGACGCTGCAAACCGAGCAGTAGCACCAACAGCAGCAGCAGCGGCAGCAACAACAGCACCATTGGCTTAAGTCTCACTCTCTGCTGCTATCTTTCGCTTGATACAGACGACAATGAGGAGGAGCATAAGGAGGAGATGGTGGACCCTTCTCTGCCTGCGGGGGTGTTCATTAAGCAAGAATACGAAGAGGAGGAGGAGGCTTGGAGGAAGATGTTGCCCAAGGTGAAAGTGGAGAGGGAAGATGATGATGATGACGATGATGGCAGTGATGGTGATGGCGATGTTGGTGGTGATGGCAGTAAGTGTCCTCTCTTCACAACCCTTCGTAAACAGCCGCCCATCAGCTATACACTACTATACACTACACTATACACGACTGTACACTACACACTACACCACTATACTACATTGAGAACTAATTTCTGTAGAACTGCTTCTAGTCGTGTTTAGTTTGTAGTCCTTCCTCCCCACACCTCCGATTAGCGCAGTTGGTGATGTACGGTGCTTAAGAAGAAGTTCAACCGACACACGTACATGCCATACGTCACAGTACAACCATCGACGTAATTTCCGTCGGGGTGGAAAACAAAACCCTGAGGCCTCGACGCTTTTTGATTACATTTTTTAGTTAAACGCTCGCGTCGGTTTCAGTACGGCCCTCACGTAAGCGACCTTTCACCCCCAGTGCAGGCAGTGAGCGACATTCGGATAAAGGTCGAAGAAGAGGACGACGATGAAGACGACGACAACAAAGACGACAATGACGAAGCAAAACATTTGCACTTTCGAGCGGGACACCGACCGTCCCGTGGAAGTCAACCGTCGCACGTTGAGAAGGCCGAGCGGCGGGACCTCGGCGGTTCGGGCGGCGACTGCCAGGCCCCAGCGGTCAGCCACGGCGGTTCCCGGGAGAAGACCGGAGGGTCGAGGCCATCGCGGATAGACCGAGGAGGGGCCGCCGCCGGCTCGTCGGACGTGGCCGAGATTGAGGTGGAAGTGGAGGACGACAACGACGGTAGGGAGGGGTGGCGACGGAGCTGACACACCCCGCGCGGGGTCGTTACGGGCGGGTTGGGACCCGCCAGACTCAATGCACTTTTAAAATAATCATGTATACACTACACTACTAAACACGACACCAAACACTATACACTACACTATACACCACACTACTAACCTATACACTACTACACACTACCCTACGATATACTACACTGCTATACAGTACACTATACACGACACTACTATAAACTATACTACTGTATATTACTATACACTGCACTACTATACACTACACTACTTTACACCACTACTATACACTACTTTACTATACATCACTACTATACACTACACTACTATACACTACACTATACAAATCAAAGTTTATTTTCATATGAACAAGATCCAGGGAATTGTAACACAGTACAATGACATGCTTACTCGCAAGCTCTCCTCTCAAACAGTGTGGCAGCTATAAAAAACATTCAACCCAGGCAATAAGTAGACAGCATAAAGATAAAAATAATACGTCAATATAAATAAGTCCGAGAAGCACAAAAAAGAACACTGTATAACAAAAGCCATGGTGAGAAATATAACATGGTCAGATAGACGTCTTCAGGGTAGGGGGAAGAGGGATAAATTGGGATAAGTGGAGAGAATAGATTGCTTTGATTGAGCAGTGGAATATCTTGTAATAGATAGCAGCAGGTCGTGGTGGTTGTGTAGGCGTGTGTGTGTGTCGTGTGGTAAGGTGCAGAGAGTCAGGGAAAAGAGTCTGATGTGTGTCTGTGTGTGGAGTGTGCACTAGTGTAGCGGTTGGCGCGTTGCACCATGAACCTGACGAGCCGAGTTAAATTCCCCACCAACGCCAGTGACGATTATCTGAACTGGTCCTGGGCCTCCTCCTCTAGGTCGACTCGGCTTCATGAGTGCCTGGTGTGGTGTGTAAACATCGCCACTGGGGAGACAAGCAATAAGACTGTTCAACAGTCTTATTGCTTGGATATAAAAGCCGTCTCTTGAGCCTCGTGGTTCGAGACCCAATGCTCCGGTATCGTCTGCCCGACGGCAAGGGAGAGAATGGTCCATGGCTGGGGGTGGCTGGGGGTGGTTGGAGCCTTTGATGATGTTGTGGGGGCCTTCCTAGGGCTCCGCCTCGGTCTAAATGCCCTGTCTGGCTGGGAGCACGATCACCAGAGATGGACCGCGCAGTCTTCGCTGTCACCCCGCTGTAGGGCCCTGCGGTCGAAGGCAGTGGTGGCTGCCCGTAGCAGCAAGCCGTGATGCAGCCAGTCAGCAAAATGCTCCCAATGGTGCGTCTGTAGAAGTCAGCGAGTATTGGAGGGGCCATGCCGAACTTCTTCGGCCGCCTGAGGGGGAAAGAGGAGGCTCTGGTGCGCGCGCCTTCTTGACAACCTGTGCCGGTGTTGTGGGTCCATGTCAGGTCTTCGATAGGGACACCGAATAACTTGAAGTTGCTGCTGATCCACTCCTGTAGTTAGCAATAAGCTTTGTTTTGCTGATGTTGACGGGAGAGAGGGTTGTTAGCTTGGCGCCACACTGCCAAGTCTCTTCTTACCTCCTCCCCGTAGGCTGTCCCATCGTTGTTATCGATCAGGGCCTACCATGGGTGGTGCCATCAGCAAACTCGATGATGGAGTTGGTGTCACGCCTGGGCACGCAGTTGTGGGTTAATAGGGAGTACAGCAGGGGGTAGGTGCTGAGCTCATAGCCTTCGGGGGGGGGGGGGAGCTCCTAGTTTGAGTGTCAGTCTGGGGGAAGTGTTGCTGCTATCCTCACAACCTGGGTGGTCTGCCCGTCACACAGTTGAGCATCCAGTTGCAGAGGGTGGTGTTCGGACCCGGGGCCCTGAGCTTGGTGATGAGCTTGGAGGGAACAACAGTGTTTAAATGCTGAGGTGGGGTAGAGTAGCGTGCAGTGCAGTGCAATGGAGACGGCATCATCCGTGGATCTGTTGGGGCGGTATTCAAATTGGAGTGTCTGGTCCATTGGAGTTTAACATGTAGGCTTTCGCGTGGAAGGGAATAATCAAATAATACATTATTTGAATGCAGGCCTACAAAGGGCAGCGTACTTCAGTAGGGATTACCATTGGTAGGGCTATGTTAATAAACACAATAAACAGTAAGGACAAGTTCAATGGGCTCGCATAATGCACATGCATAATGTACGTTGCCTCAGTAATCCCCCCCCCCCCCACATTGTGCAAGAGCGCAGAAGCATGGTCACCACATCTACGCCTCTATATAACAGTAAGACTTCTCTACAAATCTGGCTAGCCGGATAAAGCTAGTTGTAATTACTGGCGAAACTCAGATTGTAAATGTTGTTGAGTTCCACTCACGTCGGCCAGAGAGAGCGAGCGAGAGCACACAGCCAACCGGAGCAGCGGGAGCCTTGCGTGGACGGCTCTGTGGCTCTGTGTTGGTGGCCTCAAAGCGAGTGTGTGTATGTTGCTCCGGGCACCGAACAGTTCAGGAAACTCTGCAAGGTAAATGTTTTCCTTTTAATTTTTCATTGGATATGCCCTCTCATTTTGAGATTTTATATATGTCTTAGTTTTATAGGGTGGACTACCTTCGTTTGATTTATACTGTAAAGTAAAGTGATGCCCTCTTTTGTGGGGGTGAGTTTTTACTAAAAAAATACATTGAATGAATGAGAAAAGGTATTCACCTCATCCGGCAGAGAGGCGTTGGTAGGAGAGTAGCACAGCCAGGCTTGCCCTTGTAGTCTGTTGTAGTTTGCAATCATTGCCACATGCGTCGTGCGTCGGAGCTATTGTACCGTGATTCCAGCTTGATTCTGTATTGTCTTCTTGCGTCTCTAATGGCTTCATGGAGGTCATACCTGGTCTTCCTTTACGCATCCATATCCCCGCAGCTGAATGCGGTCGTCCGGTCCTTTAGCATGCCACGAATATCTCCGTTAATTCAAGGTTTCTGATTGAGGGAATGTACAGATTGTCTTTGCGAGGACAACATTCCTTTCATGCACTTCCTGATAGAACCGATGTTGTGAACTCGTCGCTGTCCGTGGAAGAGTCCTGAAATGTATTCCGGTCTGTGGATTTTAAAACATAGCATCTGTAGCATATTTTCCGTGCCCTTCTGACCAACACTGTACCTTTCTCTCCACCGGCTCTTTTTGCTTTAGCCTCTATATGTCAAGAGGAAGTATAAGCACAGAGAAGTGGTCTGATTGGCCAAAGTCAGGTCATGGGGGGGACTTGTACCCCTTCTTTGATGGTGGAATAGCAATGACTCAAAGTGTTGGCGCCTCTGGTGGGGCAGGAGACGTGTTGGTGGTACTGAGGTAGAATTTTCTTCAGGCTGGCCCGGTTGAAATTCTCCAGCCGTAATAAAGACGGCCTCTGTTTATAATCCCGTACAGTTCGTTGAGTGCCGTTGAGTGCTGTTGTAGTGCTGGCCTGAGGAGTAAACAGCGGTGATGATAACAGATGAGAACTCTCTCGTTGGATCATCAGTATTATACACTACACTATACACCACACTGCTGTACACTACACTATACACTACACCGCATTACTAATTGAAAACGCATTTCTTTAGACCTGCTTGTTGTGTTTAGTTTGTCTTCTCCCCCCCACACCTCCGATTAGCACGGTTGGCTAAGCACGGTGCGAAAGAAGTTCAACATACAGTAAGGGCTCAGAGTACGCGTGCTCAAAGTACGAGGACCTGTTCATATGCGACTGACCACCAAGATTCATACTTACACGTGTGACTCGTACTTTCGCTACATGCTACATATTTGAGGGCATGTAACTGTATCGCTTGCGCAAGAAACGAGTCCAAAACAATATCGTGTTCTAATATAGTGTTAATAATATGGTGTTAATAATAATATGTTAATATTGTGATCTATCTGGCCCGGATAATACTGATGATTAGTGAATAATTTACCATGCAGTACTGTACTTAATTAAATATGTATCTACATTTATATACACTCTTACATTGTATATATACAGCGTATAGTAATATAGTAGTGTATAGTAATATAGTAGTATATAGTAGTGGATCGTAATATAGTAGTGTATAGTACATCTTCTTTGGTTCTTTCGGTAAAGTCACGTAGAATGAGAATAAAATAATAAATTGATAAAATAAAATAACACAATAATATTCTCACGACGTTTCGGCCACAACACAAGCGGCCTTCATCAGGTGAAGGGGGGCGAGACTGTCTGGTAGGACAGCGCTGGAGCTGTCCTACCAGACAGTCTCGATGAATCATTGCAGTCACGAAAGCTTTAAATCGAAATTTAGTGTATAGTAGTATATATAATGTATATCTACACTCGTATAGGCGAACCACAACTTACGCGAATTCGCGTTTGCGTGCAGGTACACGGAACCTAACCCCTGCCGTGTACTCTGAGACCTTACTATACATACACACACACATACATTACCTTTTTTGTTATTTTGCCCAAGGTTGACTGCAAGCTTCTCTGCAAAATAAAATCAGGTCACAGTTTTTGTACAGCTTCTTGACATGGAGTAGCGCTTAGACACTGCGCTATTTAATATCGTGCTGTAACGTATTTGTGTTTTGTCCGTACCTACGTACGTATTGATTTGAATCTTTCGTGACTGCAGGAATCCATACTCTTTGGTTCTTTCGGTAAAGTCACATAGGTATAAAATTTTATAAATCACGACGTTCCGGGTTATGCTTTCCCACCTGATGATGGACGCTTGTGTTGCGCCCGAAACGTCGTGATTTATTTTATTTTGTTTTATACATATGTGACTTTACCGAAAGAACCAAAGATTATGTAGGTACGTATGTTGAACATCTTATCACCCCGTACATAGCCAATCATGCTAATCGGTGTCTTGTGGCAACATGTTTAGTTGTAAAGACACTTTGAATGACCATGGCATGTAAGCACTGAATTCAAATTAACCTAAACTATTTCTTTAATTTACCAGGTATCAGGCGTCACTGAGGTGTGTAGCTTGCTTTTCAGAAGCGACCGAGACACCACAAACTAAACTATTAACTTTCGATTTAAAGCTTTCGTGACTGCAATGATTCATCTTCTTTGGTTCTTTCGGTAAAGTCACGTAGAATGATAATAAAATAATAAATTGATAAAATAAAATAACACAATAATATTCTCACGACGTTTCGGCCACAACACAAGCGGCCTTCATCAGGTGAAGGGGGCGAGACTGTCTGATGAAGGCCGCTTGTGTTGTGGCCGAAACGTCGTGAGAATATTATTGTGTTATTTTATTTTATCAATTTATTATTTTATTCTCATTCTACGTGGTGACTTTACCGAAAGAACCAAAGAAGATAAACTATTAACTATTTTTTTATTTTACCAGGTATGGCCCCACTGAACTGTAGCGCTTGGGTGCACGCGAAGGAGCGGCCCCACCGTTGCACCGAGTGCGGGAAGGGCTACGTGCGCGCCGCGTCCCTGAAGCAGCACGCCCAGACGCACACGGGCGAGAGGCCGTACCGGTGCACCGTGTGCGGCCGAGGTTTCGGAATCTCCAAGGTCCTCAAGGCTCACATGAGGATCCACACGGGCGAGAGGCCGCACGCGTGCCACGTCTGCGGCAAGGCCTTCAGACGCTTGTCGGCCCTGGGGAGGCACGCGAAGACGCACACGGGAGAGAGGCCCCACGTGTGCCCCGTGTGCGACAGGGCCTTTTCCCTGCCCAAGTTCCTCAAGGACCACCTGATGACGCACACGGGCGAGCGCCCCTACGCGTGCTCCTTCTGCGGCAAGGGCTTCATCAAGCAGGAGAACCTGGTGTGCCACGTGCGGTCTCACACCGGCGAGAGGCCGCACGCGTGCGCCGTGTGCGGCAAGGGCTTCGCGTACGCGTCGGTGCTCAAGAGCCACGCTGTGACCCACACGGGCGAGAGGCCGCACGCGTGCGCCGTGTGTGGCAAGGGGTTCGCCTACCGATCCGTCCTGAAGCGTCATGCAGAGACCCACGCGAAGGAGGCGGCAAAATGAAGACCCCCGACAGGCATCGTGAAGGAAGCGTTTTGTTGCGCTCGCTCGCTTTCGAACTAGACTCTGCGAAGACCGCGCGGTGCAAACGAAATAAGTTTTGATGACAAAATAATAATAATAATACCCTTTCTACTAATAATACAGGTGTGTTAAAATGTTAAAACAAATATACACCTAAGCACACAAAAATACAAACAAACGTCATAATATATGCACATTGTCTTTGAAACTGCTTGTACAGGCCGTAGGTTCAGAGGAAGTATGTGTGTATGCGTATAGATTTAGCACGGTTGGCTACGGACGGCACGAAAGAAGTTCCACGCACATATGTACGTATGTAGATGGATAAAAATAGCATGAAATTAACATAACGAGAATAGTAAAGTCATCGTACTAAGGAATAACTCATGCTTAAAAACGATGGAGCAATGCAATATAGAGTATCAACCTACGTAAATCTGTTTTTGTCTTTGTCTCAACAACCTATTAAAGCAAATACATCGATGTGCTGGGGGATAGTGATTCAACTTAAAACACATGAGATCACACCGGTCCTGGTCCAATGCCAGATTTTCTGTCTGTTGGCGACAGCAGAGGTGTAGGGAATTACAACAAACATACATCTGCTTTATTTACCTGGTCAATGCCTATGATACTATCAATAGGCCTGGGCTCTGGGTTGTTCTTCGTGCTTTAATAGTCTCTGACTCTCTGCTCACAATCATTAAGAACATTCATGATGGTGGGTAGGCCCAGGTAAAGCTACGTGGCCGGGAGTTGGAGCCATTCCATTCAACTTGGGGTGCGACAGGGATGTCCTCTGGCTCCCAGATTATTCAACATATTTTTCAATCACATAGTTGGAGAAGCCTTCCATGGCTGACTGATGGAATGTCCATCTGGTGCAGATAAAATGGGAGGCTGATCGATGCCCGGGTGCGGTCGAGGGATGGCTCCCTATTAGTTAACCATGTTATGTATGCTGATAATCTGGTATTGCTGCTCACTTAGAGAATGAGTTGGAGGCACTGCTGCTAGACCTGAAGTGTACCACCAAGAGGTGGGGCCTGACCATCAACCCCACCAAACCTAAGCACCTACCTGGGTATTTTGTGCCATAAAACACTGCACGCCTTCAACTCCCCATTGGTGATGTGACAGTTGTGGACGGATTGGAGATTTTTCCATACCTGGGCAGTGTGCTTATGACCAGCTCCAGTTTGACGGCAGTGGAGCGGCATTATGTTTTCATCAGCTGCATAATGCTGTGTGGAATCTACCTGGTCTGTCGCTCCACAGGAAGCTACGGGTCTTCCCGGCCATGGTCATACGTACCCTCCCTTTATGCTTGCGAAACGTGGACCCCCCTAATGGAACATCTTCACCAGTTAAAAACATGCAGGATGGCCTGCCTACAATTCAACCTGAGATTAACCAGGCTGGATTGTGTGAGGAGCTCACAAATCCTTGAAAGGTCTGCACAAAGTCCCATTGGTGAGGTCCGGCAGGCAAGGCTGCGATTGCTGAGTCTTGTAGCCTGCATGCCAAGCCACCGCGTGCCTAAACAGCTTTTGTTTGGCAGGATAGAGGGAGAGAAACGGACGCAGCACGGGCTAGAGAAGATATGGAATGATGTACACGAGGATGTGGAGCTGAGTGGACTCGCCGATGACTGGTATGAGTGGTGTCAAAATCGGCCTCAGTGGAGGAGGCTCGTCAAGGGTGCTACTGGGCAGTTGGAGGCAGCCGCCCTCCAGCTGCAACGGAGGGCAGAGCGACGCTCACAACAATGAGCGGAGCACCAGGCGGCTAAAACGCAACAAGTTGGCACAGACGGGGGCACAGGTGGTGCATCAGCCAGTCATCTCAGTAAACCCATGGTACCTGGGTCTGTCCCGTGACCTGCCAGCGAGTGTTCGACACTTCACATGGCCTTAAAGTGCACATAGCCTGGCACAAGCGCCGTGATGATGTCACCACCATTTCGTGGCAAAATGGCGGTTATTGTGTGTGTGTGCGCAATTGTGCGGACTCATTCCACCCCTATGTTTTTTACATAACTTTATTTAATGTTTTATTTACAATACAGTATTTATTACAGTATTACATGCATATGTACACTTTCTCATTTATCAATTTAATCATGTTTGTCATTTACGTTGAACTGTAACACATTTCATAACACTGACCGTATGGGCATTTAAATAGGGTGCATTATTGCGTTCCAAATTGTGTACCATCGTTCGACTTACCAATGGGTCTCAGGAACGTATTACGTTCGTAAGCCGAGGACTGCCCATACACAAACTACTTTCCACTGCTATACAGTACACTATACACTACTATATACAATACTATAAACTGCACTGTACACCACTACTATACTACATAGAGAACTCAATTCTTTATAACTGCTTTTTGTGTTTAGGGTTCTTGTCCTTCCCCTGCACCTCCAATGGCTTACGTACGGTGCGAAAGAAGTTCTACATATAGGGTGGTCCAGATCAAAATCTGCATTTCTACTGGAGAAGGAATCCGATGAGCTATGAAGCTCTTTTTGACATGTCCAGATGTCTTGTAAACCCCACATAAATTGACCCCTAACATGTGTTTTCCCTTTGCATATCCATTTCTCTTTTAACTAATCCTTTAACATACAGTAAAACCTTGGATTGCGAGTAACTTGGTCTGCGAGTGTTTTGCAAGACAAGCAAAATTTTTTAATAAATATTAATTTGATAAACAAGCGAGGTCTTGCAATACGAGTAGTACGTATACGCTTTGTCTGCCGAGCGTCACGTGATCATAATTGATATATGAGTGCTTTGATATACGAGTGCTTTGGATTACAAACACGTTTCCGGAACGAATTATGCTCGCAATCCAAGGTTTTACTGTATATGTAATGTTTTAGACTACTCTGTTTGTTGAACTCCTTTTGTATCGTACATAGGCAACTACGCTAATCAGAGGTGTGGGGAGGGGGAGACAACAAACTAAACACAACAAAAAGCAGTAGTATATAAATCTTGACTTAAAGCTTTCGTAACTGCAGGAATTCATATTCTTTGGGTCTTTACTGAAAGACCAAAGGAAAACGGTATATAGTAGTGTATAGTATAGTGTATAATGTCGGCTTTCGCGACCAATATCATCCGTAATAGAGTTTTTTTGGGGGTTAGATTGTGTAAATATTTATAAGTAGGTTGTTTGGGGGCGCCTATGGCGCCCCTCAAAACCATTTACGGCCTTCGGCCAGGAAAGTCACAAAATTTTCACAAGAACGACGCATTCACGAAAGCATCCGATGCTCTGTTTTGAAGCTTTGAAATGAAACATCTTTCAATTTTATTACATTTTGAATTAGATAATTGTATTTCTTCATTAAAAGCTTATTTCATTTTACATCTGGAAGACTTCATGCAAAACGACTTTTCGTGTGAATTTTCCCTCGTCGTTAAGTAGATGTCCTTGCTGGGGGTTCGGTTCAATGCAGACTTTCACCTGGTTATGGATTGCGGGATCGAGATAAGGCGACACAGAGCTGGCCGTGCGAGAAGACCGCCGTCTGCGATCGATTCCAACGTAATCGAACGTCTGTCCCTGCGACTTGTTGATTGTGATAGCGTATGCGGGGATAATGGGAGATTGTCGTCGTCGCAAAACAAATGGTAAAGTTGTGTCGGTGGGGGCCAAGTCGATTCTGGGAATCGCCACCGAATCGCCACGGTTACACTCGGAGATGATCCGCGCCTTGATGAAATTTCTCTCTCGCTACTCGACAATCAGTCGCGTGCCGTTGCAAAGTCTTTTCTTTGGGTAGAGATTCCGCACAAGCATGATGATGACGATGTTCTTCAGCAGCAGGACGTGTGGTGGCATTCCCCATGGCGTCTGGTCGTTGAGAAACTCGACTGGAAAATGTATTGTGTCGCTGGGATCTTCGCTCACGACTGAATCGGCGCTGTAGTAGATGGCGGGCTCGCCAGGCATCTGTCCAATGATCTTGCGGTTCATTTCGAGTGCCTGTGCATTGGTCGGTGCGACATTGACTCGCTTCTAAAGGTCAGCTATAGACATATCTCCAATGCTGCCGAAGATGGATTTGAATTGTGCTCTCTTCGAAGATTCCCCGCACTGGGTGCAATCTGCCTGTTCCAACTTTACGCAGCCATTTGTTGTGCTTATTTTGTCCCTCGCTGCGCATGTTTGTCGTAAGAATGAGCTGCGTGAAGTTCTTCCACAACCGGCTTGCCTTTATACGGCACTCAACGATGTCCGTTCACGTTCCTCGCGCTACAATGGGAAGAGTCCGTCGGAAGTTGCCGCCTACAACGAAGACATTTCCGCTGAATGGTTTTTCGTTGCCCATCACCTCGCGCAAGAGCTTGTCGATGCAGCAAAGTCCGTTCTTCGGCAGCATAGTAATTTTGTCGATGATGACGAGTGAAGTTTTGCGCAGAGCTTTGGCTTGTGGCGATGCAGGCCGCATGGAAGAGACTGAAGTGTCGAGCAAGGGAACTGGAAGCTTTAATCCGCTGTGAACAATGTCCTGTTTTCAAATTTTCTTGCTGTGGTTTTCACACTTGATGATGTTTGCTTGTGTTGCAGTCGAAACGTCGTCAGAATTTTATTGTTTTATATTTTTATTATTTTATTGTTTCGCTTCTACGTGACTTTACCGAAAGAACCAAGAATATAATACGTCCTCCTTTAAGCATTGTTCCGGCGATGCCTGTCGTTGCAAATGGCAGTACAATTTGTACACCACGAGAGCTGTGTAGAGGAAGGTCTTGCCCGAACCTCCGGGACCGTCAAGATAGAAGCATCGGTTCGTCACATTCTCGTCATCGACAGCCATGATGATCTTGTTGAACGCGTCGAGCTGCTTCTCGTTGAGCATCGAGAGACGTCGTGCGCCCTCGTTCCTCAACTTGGTCATACACATCTTCTTCCGGGGTCTCCCTTTGGTGTTGGCAATCCAATTGCTTTGCAAGAGAATCCGTGCTGCTGCAGAACGCTGTTGATGTCATGAAGTGCTTTGTTGATCGCGATGTCGTCGGCATCTCTTCGCATGTAGTCGAGAGTTAAGTCCAATTTGTGGTCCTCCCACAGCTTTGAGAGGTGATGCGGGCTGAGAGAAGCAGCAGATGAAAGCAAACATCTCACGCAACTCCTTCGGCATCATGTAGGTGCCGGCATCCGTCGGGCAGCGATGCCATTCGTCGTCCGAATCAAGAAGACCTCGCGCTGAAGCTGCTGCCTTGACGCTCTCGCACACCACTCCGTAGACGGTCCGCAGAGACTCAAAGCTGGTCGCACCTCGAACATGCAACAGCACCATTCGAAGATAGAAACGTTCTTCGTTTTTGATGCTGACCATGTACATGCGGGACACGATCTTGTCGGCGTTAAAACAATGATCAGCAACGGCAGAGGTATTGGTGCTACCGTGTTTCAGATCTGCTTTGTGTTCACGAAAACGGTCCGAGACATGTCGTTTCGTTTCCCCAATGTAACTGCTGCCACAACCACAACTCAGTTTGTAGACACCAGGGTATTGCATGTCAGGAATCACATCCTTTACAGATGGGATTAAATCACGGATTTTGTGTACTGTGATGAAACGAACCTGGATCTTGTGTTTGTTTAAGATTTTGGAAATCTTTTTGGTAACTCTTGCCATGTAGCCACTTCTGTGCCCTCGTCCAGGAAGCCGCTCTAAGTTTTTACATTTACATGCTAATTTCTCACATTAATATCACTAGCCCCGCCCACTTCTTTATGACCCTTGGGCTACACCCATTTAAAACGTTTTAAAACAGTCTGCCTCAGCAGCAGACCATGCTTTCCCACCTGATGATGGACGCTTGGTGTTGCGCCCAAAACGTCGTGATTTATTTTATTTTATACCTACGTGACTTTACCAAAAGAACCACAGGGTATGGATTCCTGCAGTCACGAAAGCTTCAAATCAAGAATGTTCATCACAGATAAAGTTGGGCGTTTATATTATTAAAAGAGAGAGATCGCGATCTAACCCAAAAATATGTATGTGATCTAACCCCAAAAAAACTCATGGATATCGTAGTGTATTATGTAGTATATAGTGTAGTGTATAGTCGTGTATAATGTAGTGTATAGTCGTGTTTAATGTAATGTATAGTGTAGTGTATAGTAGTGTATAATGTAGTGTATAGTGTAGTATATAGAAGTGCATAATGTAGTATATAGTGTATTATATAGTAGTGTATAATGTAGTATATAGTCGTGTATTATATAGTAGTGTATAATGTAGTGTATAGTCGCGTATAATGTAGTGTAAGGTGTAGTATATAGTATATAGTCGTGTATTATAGTGTATAATGTAGTGTATAGTCGTGTAGAATATAGTAGTGTATAATGTAGTGTATAGTGTAGTATATAGTAGTGTATAGTCGTGTATAATGTAGTGTGTAGTGTAGTATATAGTAGAGTATAGTTATTATATAGTAGGGTATAGTCGTATATAGTGTATAATGTAGTGTATAATGTAGTGTATAGTGTAGTATATAGTAGTGGATAGTGTAGTATATAGTAGTGTATAGTCGTGTATAATGTAGTGTATAGTGTAGTATATAGTGTAGTGTATAGTGTAGTATATAGTGTATAATGTAGTGTATAGTGTAGTATATAGTAGTGTATAATGTAGTGTATAGTGTAGTATATAGTAGTGTATAATGTAGTGTATAATGTAGTGTATCATACTCTTTGGTAGGTATAAAATACATTTTTAATAAAATTTTATTTTATACCTACGTAACTTTACCGAAACAACCAAAGAGTAAGGATTCCTGTAGTCACGAAAGCTTCAAATCAAGGTTAGTGTATCGTAGATGTATGTGCTGTGCTAATTGGAGGTTCCGCATTTTGTCTCCCAAGTGCACCAACTTGGACTCCCATCGTGTCGCCCTCTTGCTGGGAATCATCGTTCACTCAGTCTCATCACGTCTACCACACTCGTCATCACGTCTACCACTCTCGTCATCACGTCTACCACTTTCGTCATCACGTCTACCAAACTCGTCATCATGTCTGCCACACTCGTCATCACGTCTAGCATACGTCATCACGTCTACCAAACTCGTCATCACGTCGACCAACTTCGTCATTACGTCAACTCGTCATCACGTCCACTCATCACGTCTACTGACCTTACGTCATCACGTCTACCTAAATCGTCATCACGTCTACCCACTACCGTCATCACGTCCCCTAGTCAAACGTACTATCGTCATCACGTCTACCAAACGTCATCACGTCCACCCCTCGTCACGCCTAACACTGCGTCATCACGTCTAAGACCGCAGGGCGTCACGTTACGTCATCACGTCTAACACCTTACGTCATCATGTCTACACGTTACGTCATCACGCCATCATTCGTCATGTCTACTCAGCATACGTCATCACGTCTAATACCATACGTCATCACGTCCACCACTCGTCACGTCCTTGTGTTTACCAATCGCTTCGGGTTCGCCACTCGGGGCTGCTGCTGCGGGGAAACCGAGCGGAGGTCGAGACCCGGTGGGTGACTCCGCACTCCTCCTGCTGCTGCTGCTCCTCCTGCTGCTCCTCCTGCTGCTGCTGCTCCTGCTGCTGCTGCTCCTGCTGCTCCTCCTGCTGCTCCTCCTGCTGCTCCTGCTGCTGCTGCTCCTGCTGCTGCTCCTCCTACTCCTCCTGCTGCTGCTGCTGCTGCTCCTCCTGCTGCTCCTGCTGCTGCTCCTCCTGCTGCTCCTCCTGCTGCTCCTGCTGCTGCTGCTCCTGCTGCTGCTGCTCCTGCTCCTGCTGCTCCTGATCCTCCTCTTGCTGCTCCTCCTGCTGCTCCTGCTCCTGCTGCTGCAGTGCAAGCGGCGCGCGGGGGCGATCCACATTCTGCACCTCCTCATCCTCCTCGCACTTTCCCAGTGTGTACCCACGCCTAATGCCATTGCGGTTTCTTTGCGCTGACAGTCGTGTCGAATCCGAGGTTCTCAGAAGTTTAGGGGCCGTCCATAAATCAGGAGTGCAGCGCCACATTAATCACGCACTACAATGACAATAGTTTGAAACGATTTGAACCATATTCTTGGTTCTTTCGGTAAAGTCACGTAGAAGGGAAACAATAAAATAATAAAAATATAAAGAAATATATTTTAACATTAAACAATATATTTTTTTTATTTTATTGTTTCCCTTCTACGTTGTGACTTTACCGAAAGAACCAAGAATATGAATCCCTGCAGTCACGAAAGCTTTAAATTAAGATTTGAACCATGTTTTACATATTTTTTTGGGGGGGGGGGGGGCAGAGCTTTGTGACGTCATATTCGAGGGGGGAGGGTCTGACTTTTTTTGACGCCGTGTGACGAAAGGGGGGGAGGGGTCAAAAATCGTCCAAAATCGCGTGACGTAATTTATGGACGGCCCCTTATATCCAGTGACTCCTCTACTTACGAACATTCGACTTACAAACTTTCAGAGATACGAACAAATCTGGAAGTATGTCCAGTTGCCTGTTCGGAACCGAGAGTTATAAGTTCATCCTCTGCGCAATAGGTGGTGGTGGTGGCATCTACTTCTGCAGAACGTCAGAGAACAACTGATATCTACATCTGCAGAACATGAAGAACCAGTGGCATTTACATCTGCAAAACATGAAGAACCAGTGGTATCTACATTTGCAGAACATGAAGAACCAGTGGCATCTACATCTGCAGAACATGAAGAACCAGTGGTATCTACATTTGCAGAACATGAAGAACCAGTGGTATCTACAGTGAGGGAAAAAAGTATTTGATCCCCTGCTGATTTTGTGTAAGTTTGCCCACTGACAAAGAAATGATCAGTCTATAATTTTAATGGTAGGTTTATTTGAACAGTGAGAGACAGAATAACAACAACAAAATCCAGAAAAACGCATGTCAAAAATGTTATAAATTGATTTGCATTTTAATGAGGGAAATAAGTATTTCACCCCCTATCAATCAGAAAGATTTCTGGCTCCCAGGTGTCTTTTATACAGGTAACGAGCTGAGATTAGGAGCACACTCTTAAAGGGAGTGCTCCTAATCTCAGCTTGTTACCTGTATAAGAGACACCTGTCCACAGAAGCAATCAATCAGATTCCAAACTTTCCACCATGGCCAAGACCAAAGAGCTCTCCAAGGATGTCAGGGACAAGATTGTAGACCTACACAAGGCTGGAATGGGCTACAAGACCATTGCCAAGCAGCTTGGTGAGAAGGTGACAACAGTTGGTGCGATTATTCGCAAATGGAAGAAACACAAAAGAACTGTCAATCTCCCTCGGCCTGGGGCTCCATGCAAGATCTCACCTCGTGGAGTTGCAATCATGAGAACGGTGAGGAATCAGCCCAGAACTACACGGGAGGATCTTGTCAATGATCTCAAGGCAGCTGGGACCATAGTCACCAGGAAAACAATTGGTAACACACTACGCCGTGAAGGACTGAAATCCTGCAGCACCCGCAAGGTCCCCCTGCTCAAGAAAGCACATATACATGCCCGTCTGAAGTTTTCCAATGAACATCTGAATGATTCAGAGGACAACTGGGTGAAAGTGTTGTGGTCAGATGAGACCAAAATGGAGCTCTTTGGCATCAACTCAACTCGCCGTGTTTGGAGGAGGAGGAATACTGCCTATGACCCCAAGAACACCATCCCCACCGTCAAACATGGAGGTGGAAACATTATGCTTTGGGGGTGTTTTTCTTCTAAGGGGGCAGGACAACTTCACCGCATCAAAGGGACGATGGACGGGGCCATGTACCGTCAATTCTTTGATGAGAACCTCCTTCCCTCAGCCAGGGCATTGAAAATGGGTCGTGGATGGGTATTCCAGCATGACAATGACCCAAAACACACGAAGAAGCACATTAAGGTCCTGGAGTGGCCTAGCCAGTCTCCAGACCTTAATCCCATAGAAAATCTGTGGAGGGAGCTGAAAGTTCGAGTTGCCAAACGTCAGCCTCGAAACCTTAATGACTTGGAGAAGATTTGCAAAGAGAAGTGGGACAAAATCCCTCCTGAGATGTGTGCAAACCTGATGGCCAACTACAAGAAATGTCTGACCTATGTGATTGGCAACAAGGGTTTTTGCCACCAACTACTCAGTCATGTTTTGCAGAGGGGTCAAATACTTATTTCCCTCATTAAAATGCAAATCAATTTATAACATTTTTGACATGCCTTTTTCTGGATTTTTTTGTTGTTATTCTGTCTCTCACTGTTCAAATAAACCTTCCATTAAAATTATAGACTGATAATTTCTTTGTCAGTGGGCAAACGTACAAATCAGCAGGGGATCAAATACTTTTTTCCCTCACTGTACATCTGCAGATCGTGAAGAAACAGTGGCTTCTACATCTACAGGAGATTATACAACTTTTAAAACCATTCCCTGTGTTTAGTGTACATGCCGTAAACAACGTGTTTGGAATCTACAGGAGTAACGTTGGGAATTACGAAAAAATCGACTTACGAACAGACCTCTGCAACCCAACTCATTCGTAAGTAGAGGCGTCTATTTCTCGAGCAAAGCTCCGCTGAGCTAAGACGATTATTTTTTTGTTCAAGGGCAATTCGGACCGGTATAGACATGATCCAAATATTCCACACAATTTACAGATTTTTTTATTTCATAATAACCGCAATTGTGTAAGATTTACATTTTCGCACTCAAACCCCAGTGATTGTTTTTAAAATAACAGTTTAAGTGAGGACAGAGAATGGCAGAATGGAAATGCCAAGAGATGTCAGAATTTAAATAATCATAATCTTGCATTTGACCTGCAGGAAGAGGTAATCCGATGAGCTATTAAGTAAAATTTTGATTTAAAGCTTTCGTGACTGCAGTGATTCATATTCTTGGTTCTTTCAGTAAAGTCACGTTGAAGGGAAACAATAAAATAATAAAATCATCACACCTGATGATGACTGTTTGTGTTGCAGTCGAAATGCCGTGAGAATTTTATTGTTTTATATATATTTGATTCATATTCTTTGGTTCTTTCGGTAAAGTCACGTAGAATGAGAATAAAATAATAAATTGATAAAATAAAATAAATAAATTGATAAAATAATAAATTGATAAAATAAAATAACACAATAATATTATTATAATATAACACAATAAAATAACACAATATTGTGTTATAAAATAACACAATAATATTATTATAATATTATTGTGTTATTTTATTTTATCAATTTATTATTTTATCAATTTATTTATTTTATTTTATCAATATTATAATAATATTATTGTGTTATTTTATTTTATCAATTTATTATTTTATTCTCATCCTACGTGACTTTACCGAAAGAACCAAAGAAGATGAATCATTGCAGTCACGAAAGCTTGAAATCGAAAAATATATTTGATTATTTTATTGTTTCCCTTCAACGTGACTTTACTGAGAGAACCAAGAATATATATGAAGTTCTTTCCTCACTTATGTCCAGTAAGGAGGCACGGGGGTCACAACGTTACAACAACAACAAACACGATACTCACAAACACGATAGGAGTGCAAAGTATAGGAAAGGTAAACAAATCACTTAAAACAATATACAAATGAAACTAAACTATTTTGTATCTTACCAGGTAAGGTCCACTGAGCTATTAGCTGATTTTTCAGAAGCGACCTCGCCATAACAAATGATAGCTCAACGAAGTGGCTGATCACGCGGAAATTTCTAGCGGTAAAATAATCTAAACGCGTGACGTTGATTAGAAATGTGGAGGGGAAATCCCGAAGGATCCGGAGAAAATATCCAAGCGACCACGGGAGAGAGAGAGACATGCAAACTCCAAATATACAGCAGGTATCGTCAGGGTTGAGATCAAACCCACGACCTCTGTTCTAGGCGAGGAAGCTCTTTTGCTCTTTTGTCATAAGTGACCTGGCCATCAAAAGTGATAGCTCAATGAAGTGGGCTGATATCATCATCACGTGAAAATGTATAGCAGCAGCCAAACACTCTAAATGCGAGTCATAGGGACTCGTATAGAACAACAGAGACCCACAGAGACTCATACTTATCGAGACCCATACTAAAACTAAACTTGTTTTCCCAGGTAAGGGCCACACTGAGCTGCGTAGCTTATTTTGTCAGAAACGACCTGGCCATCACAAATGATAGCAGCTAAATGAAAGGGCTTGTCATCACGTGGTCATTTATAGCAGCAGCCAAATCCTCTTAAACGCACGTTTCCACAATTGGACTGTTCCGCTCCTCGCTTACCCATCGCGGAATGACCTTTGGAACTGTTTTTGTTGTTGACTCTCTTGTGGCTGACCTGTTACGTTGATCTAATGTGAAGCGCTTGTTGTGATCAGTTTGTTGTCGTCGTCCCCCCACCCGCACCTCCTATTGCCACAATTGGCTACGTACGCACATCTGTCAACCCCTTATCAGTGCCTACCATATTACAGACCAATTCAGACCTTATTGGTCACCCCGTGCCCCTTATAAATCTCAACGCTCATCCTACAAAGTGCCATCACAAGGGAGAAACACAAACAAATATACACATTTTTTTGCTCATATTTTAAGCGGCTGTACACCGTATGGACCTGTAAACTCAATTTCTCTGTACAAGAATACAGGTGGCCAGGTTGCGTCTGAAAACTAAGTTAATACCTCAGTGGGCTTTGCCTATGTCGGATGAGGATGGTTTAGTTTGATCTGGATGTGTTTGGGTGATTTGTTTAGCTTCCTTGTACTTTGCACTACTATCGTGTCTTTGTACTGTTTATTGTTGCAACGTTCTTATCCCATGCCCCGACTGGACATGTCAACAAAGAGCGTCATATCTCATCGGATTTCTCCTGTTGCAGTATAAATACTGATTGTGTATGTATGTTGAACTTCATTCAACAACCGTGCTAATCGGAGGGGATCAACACAAATACATTGGCGCCACAGTGGCTTGGTAGATGTCAACTACTTTGCCTGGTAAGCAGGTTCATGGGTTCGATCTCGACCCTGGTGACACTTGCTGTATATTTGGAGTTTGCGTGTCTTTCTCCCGCTGTGGTCGCGTGGATTTTTCTCCGGATTCTCTGGTTTTTCTCCTCCCAACAATTTAAAATCAACATCACCACGCGTTTAAAGTGTTTGGCTGCCGCTATACATTTCCACGTGATGATATCAGCCCACTTCGTTGAGCTGTCATTTCTGATGAACAGGTCGCTTCTGAAAAAGAGCTACACAGTTCAGTGGGGCCTTACGTGGTAAAATAATAGTTTAGTTTTACTGTGGGTTTCGATGAGCATGAGTCTCTATGGGCCTCTGTGGGTTTCTGTAGGTCTCTATAGTTCTATATGAGTATGGGTCTCGATTGTTCTATATGAGTCTCTGAGTGTAGAATCAACATCATGCGTTTAGATTATATGGCTACCATACATTTCCACGATAGTTTGACATGGAAGAAGGTGCGATATAAATCTGTGTAAGCTGAGATACATAACGTGTGAGTAGCTGTTCATAATTAAAATAAGAACAACAAAAAACAACAGCGTTTCGTGATGAATGATGTCTTTAACCATCATCTGACAGTGTATATTTTTTTAACCCGAGTTTTTCTAGCACCAATGATTGCGGCCTACCGAATGAGATTGATAGGTCACTTAGTTTACAGGGGGTTAGACTTCTCTTCATTCTGAATCAGGAGAAAATAATAAAGCTGATTTTCAGAATCATCAGAATTTTTATTATTTAGACTGCAGGATGAATCCGATTAACTGTAAAGCTCTTTTTCACGGATGTCCAGTAGGGGCACACGTGGTCACAGCAAAGTTACAACAGCAGCACAAAAACATGATAGGAGTGCAAAAATATAGAACAAAAATATAAGGAAGTCACTTAATATCTACAGTACACTCTAGATTATCTGTGCTAATAAAGGGGAGGATGGCCGTGGATAATTCTAAATCGCGGATAATCCAAAAATATCAATTTTCCACATATCTCTATGCCAAAAGCCACTAATATAGGTCTAAATAATGTTTACGTTTCTCGGCCATGGCGCAGGTTAGTAAAAATGTAAACTCACAAAATAAATGATTGAATAAATCGCTCAAAATGAAGCACAACTGACGATTTTGATTGTTACTCTTTCGATTGAGAATGAATACTAACGATCGACCGATCGATGATGCGCGTGCTCAGTGATAACACTTTCCTGGCTCCTATCCAGCAGAAGACTCTGCCCAATAAGTGGATGATAGCAGAGCCACACCCAATCAACATCAATCAAACTCCGCCAACTTTTGTAAATATATTGCAATTACCGTACTGTAGAGGCGATCACGTGTATTTCGGATTCAACCGGAGCAGCATATTTGTTTGGTTTAAGCACCGTGTGACTTGTTATTAAAGATTTTCAAGAATAACAGTGTAGAACTGTTTTTAGATTATTAATTTGGGCTTAAGGGAAATTCCACGAGTTATTAATTTACATCAAAATCTCAGGTGCCACGGTTAATTCGATAATCGGATAACCGCACACAGATAATCGAGAGTCTACAGCTTTAATTAATTAATTATACGTCTGATTTGTCAAGATTGGGAAAGGCCGCAAAGACAACAACCACAAACACAGTCCCAGACCACACCAAGATAAGAACTACACACAGCAGTAACAGCAGCAGCAGTGCCTCAATACGATGGGCACGTTAACATTGCACTATCGATACGAGTACTACTAACCACTACGCGGCAGGTGATCAAAGGTTACAGATCACATTCAACATCAGTAGCGTTCTCCGTTTTCACGCGGAGGCTTTTCGCGGCCAATGTTATTTGTGATAAAGGTTTTTTGGTTTTGGGGTCACCTGATTAGCTACAGTCGGCTACGTACAGCGGTGCAAAATGAGTGCAATACACACACATACGTGCGTACATTCTCCAGGTGCATGCCCGTCTGTGATCACGTCTCCTCACATCCGCAGGCTCAAGTTGTCGACCGAGGCTGTCCCTTTTTGGATTGTAGAATTGCCCCTCCCCCCCCCCCCCCCGTCAGGCGAGAAGCTGCAGAGAAGATCCCTGAGCACGGGAAATGCCGCGCAGAGCCAACGTGCGATGGGAAGACATCGCTGCCGCTGCCGCCGCCACTACTACCATTGCTACTGCTGCAGCTGCTACTACTACCGGTGAGCGGTGTCTCTGCGTTTTGCTTCCTTCTTGCCACAGAACTCTCGCTGTGGGGGGGGGGGGGTGTGCCAGAGTCGGCAGTGTCGATCGGCGTGAATTTGACATTTGACGCGTCGCACAATCATTGTCGTTGTCGTCACAGTTCTGTCTCTCCATGGCGGAGATGAGATATCAGCAACTCCAAATGTATCGCTGTGGAAGGATGTTGCCGCTGCCACTTCTGCTGCTGCATCTAAGCTGGAGCCAAAGGGGTGACTCAACATAGATAGTTAGAAAAAGGGTTCCGGGTTTATCGAAGACGACCTGGTGATGCGGGCGGTGATTGAAAGTAAACTGGCCGCTAATTTGGACACACACGTGTAGTAGGATGGACACACACACACGTGTGATGTTGTATACATTATGTATACATTAACCCCCCCCTCCTCTAGTCTTGGCACCTGATTGTCTCACAAGAGACGACATCAGATTTATCCACTCCTCTATACCTATATTCAAATTAAACGAGATCCAACTAATACTTTAGAACGTAAGACTACTGCAATCATTGCAAATTCATTAATTCTCAAGGCTGAGCAATATCAAATTAAGCCAAGGGCCTCAAAACCATCTAGACTGTATGGGCTACCAAAGATTAATAAAATCAGTATCCCATTACGACCCATAGTAAGTACAATAGGCTCTGCTACATATAAATTAGCAAAATATGTAACTAAACAAATACAGCCCTACATCTTCGTTCATAAGAAATTCAGAACATCTTGTGAATTTAATTAAAGATATTTAACTTAACCCTAATGATATTCTGGTGAGTTTTGATGTAATTTCTCTATTCACTCAGGTTCTTATTAACGAGTCACTTAAATTACTTGATACACTAGTAAATAAGACAGATTTACCAAAAGATATTCCAAAACTAGCTGACCATTGTCTAAATAACACGTATTTATTATGGGGAGGTGATTTATTTAACAAACGGAAGGAGCAGCAATGGGCTCTCCTTTATCTCCGCTAAAGCGAATCCGTACATGGAAAACTTTGAAGCAAGAGCGCTTGCTTCAAGTACATTAAAACCATCTTTTTGGTTTAGATATGTTGATGACATTTTGGTTGTCTGGCCACATGGTAAAGATACACTTCATGCATTTCTAAATAATCTCAATGCAGAAAACCCAGCCATCCAGTTCACCATGGAAATTGAGGTGAATTACACATTCCTTTTCCTAGATATTTTGCTATGAAGTGGCGTAAATGTTAAAATAACACACAGGGTTTACCGGAAGAGAATGCCCACTGATGCCTATCTGAATGCATATTCGCATCATCACCCCACACAGAAATCCTCTCTCATAAAGATGCTCATACATCAGGCTAAAACAGTGTCAGATGGTGAAAGTCTAAAGAGGGAGATTAAACATGTTAAAGAATCACTACAACTGAATGGCTACAATAATGCTCAAATTAACAGAGCATTAAATGCCAAACCAAGATCGAACAGCAATACTGCTGAAAGCGATCAGATTATTAAAACTAAAAACTAGTATCTTGTACTAAAGATGAATTACCTAAGTTGTCAACAGAGGTGTGTATCGGATTAATTTCTTATGCAGAAAATGCTATATTTGACAGACAGGATGTAACATTCATGTAAAACTCAAAAAAAGAACACCAAGGAAATATTAAATACTCTCAAACACAACTGTTGGCAGTTGCAGAACATGCTTGCTTGACACTCAATTGATTCTAATAACATTGAAGTGTTATGTAAAAGTAATTATGACTGGCCAAGACTAATTAGATAATCCATTGAAATTGTGAGAAATACAAATAATTTTAACCGCTCTGACAGCTATAGGCATAGTGCAGCCTGAAAGCGTATTATTAAGTAATACGTGACTTAAAGCTAGTGTGACTGCAGGAATTCACATTCTTTGCGTCTTTCGATAAAGCTACGTGGCTTTACCGAAAGACCCAAAGAATAAGTAATACGTATTACAATTACAATTCCTTATAGGAAAACACGAAGTAATTCACTGATTATTAATCTAGTATATAATTACAATAACCCCTCCCCCCCTCCGCTTCTGATCTCTGTACCTTATTGAGTTCAGTGATTGGGTTCAGTTATTAAGTAATACGTATTACAATTACAATTCCTTATAGAGGAATCATACTAATTAACTGATTACTAATCTATTATATAATTACAATACCCCCCTCTCCTCTGCCTGTGAACTCTGCACCTGATTGAGTTCAGTGATTGGGTTCAGTTATTAAGTAATACATATTACAATTACAATTCCTTATCGAGGAATCATACTAATGAACTGATTACGAATCTATTATATAATTACAATACCCTCCTCTGATCTCTGCACCTGATTGGGTTCCGTGATGATGTCGCCCTGCTCTATATAAGACTGGAAGCAGGTGGATGGCTTCACTATTCTGGCAAATCGCCCGATGATGCTGGATGGAATTTCCAGCGAAAAGGTCATACTCGGATTGTAAATGTTGTGGATTCACTCCTCAACACACCGGTGGGCTGAAGTAGTAACTATTTGGCGTTTTGTTTACGTGACAAATCCCTTACTGATTGGCCGTGTCGGGTGGTGGAGAGTTTCGACACATTTATACTTACATGATCTAACCCAAAAACCTTTATTATGAATAATATTGGTCGCGAAAGCCTACATGTTAAACTCCTCTATTTAAGACCGAAACAGGAGGACGATTTCTCCACAACTCTGTGGCTGTCATCTGATGATGCTTGTTGCTGTTGTTGTAATTACTGACGAAACGTCACTGCTACTCGAATTGTAAATGTTGTAGTGGGTTTACTCTTTAACACACAACTATCGGTTAATGTGCTGTACAAGTAACTCGTTGGCACGTTTTGTTTATGTGACAAACCCCTTACTGTTTGGCTGTGTCTCAGGGTGGTGGCGGTTTAATGACACATTTATATTCACACGTTCTGACCCAAGCACCTTTATTATGGAAAATATTAGTCACGAAAGCCCTACTGCTAAGACTGCTGCGTGTTAAACTGTAGTGGTGGTGTTCTTGTTTGGAAAACAATGGAAGGAACTGGGAGAGAGAGAGGAAGACTCTAACAGAGTACAAAGACTCCTCTACTTATGAACATTCGACTTCGGAATTTTCAGTGATACGAACAAACCCTGTTTGTATGTTCAGTTGCCTGTTCGGAGAGTCGTAAGTTAAACCGTCGCGCAATAGATGGCGGTGGTGGCATCTACATCTGCAGAGCGTGAAGGTTCCAGAGGTCTGTTCGTCGATTTGTTCGTAAGTCCAACTTTACGCTGTCGATTCCAAACATGTTTTACGGTGTGTACACTAAACACGGGGAATGCCTTTGAAAGTTGTATAATCTCTTGTAGATGTAGATGCCACTGGAACTTCATGTTCTGTAGATGTATATGACACCAGCGCCATCTATTGCCTGGCAGTTGAACTTGCGACTCTCAGTCCGAACAGACAACTGGACGTACAGACAGGTTTGTTTGTATCTCTGAAAGTTCGTAAGTCGAATGGTTGTAAGTAGAGGAGTCCCTGCATTGTATTGTTTTAACGTTCAGACCCTGTGCCCTCCTTACTGGACATCTGTGAAAAAAGAGCTGTGCAGATCATCGGATTGATTTCTCCAGTAATAATAAACTAACGCTGCATTTTTGTATAATAAAAATAAAATAATAAGATTTGACATTCACGTGTCTTGATTTTTTTTCACCCGTACAGGAGGAGTGGTCCCTTATCCGACCGTGAAGGTTATTGAGTGGTTGCTTGGAGCGTAACCCCTCGGAGGCAGACGTGGCTCTAGGTGAAAGAGGAGAGAGAGGAGGACGAGGAGGAATTCCGGGGTGAGTGACTTTGCTGTTGCAACGTTCTGACCCCCGTGCCCAAACAATTTGTGACAAAGAGGTTTATAACTTATCGGATTGTGCACACTATACACAGTACAAGATGATACATTAGACACACTATCCACACAAATACACAATGTAGCACAATACACACTATACACACAATACACTATACATAATATAACATAATATACACTATAGATCTTGCCCGGATAAAGGATACCGGGCTACACCCCTGGAGCCAGTCCTGGGGGTAGTGTTCACTGGCAAGTGCCTGGTGGCCGGGTGACCCACGTAACCCGGTCGGGCCCAGCCCGAAATGGCTATGTGTTGCTGTCCTGTCGGTGGCACCATCCGCAAGACGAAGGGTGAGGGGCGGGTGCGATGCCAGTATGGCAGGGAGAGGGATAGTCTCAGACGGAAAGGACTTCGGCGATGGACACTCGCTATTGGCACGTGGAATGTCACATCACTGGGGGGGAAGGAGCCAGAACTAGTCGAGGAGGTGGAAAGGCACCGACTAGATATAGTCGGTCTCACCTCCACACAGCATTGGCACTGGAACCAAACTTCTCGATCGGCGATGGTCTCCTATTCCAGAGTAACCCCTGGTGAGAGGCCCGGGGCGGGTGACGAAATGCTCACAAGCCCCTGAGTGGGTGCTGTAGTTTGTCCTGGTGAATGAGAGGGTCACCTCAATGAGACTTCAGGTCTCAGAAATGAAAACTCTGACTGTTGTCTGTGCTTTTGCACCAAACAAGAGTTCAGAGTATTCAGCCTTCTTAATGACGGTGGGAGCAGTGCTCGACAGAGTGCCGCCTACCAACTCCACAGTTACTGGGCAACTTCAATGGTCATGTGGAAAACGATGGAGATATCTGGAGAGGTGTGATTGGGAGGAATGACCCCCCCCCCCCTGATCTGAACCAGAATGGTGAGATGTTATTTGAATTCTGCGTTAGTCACGGAATATCAGTAACAAATACCATGTTGGAATATAAGGATGCTCAAAAGTGTACTTTGTACCAGAAGACCTTGGGCCGAAAGTCAATGACTGACTTCATAGTTGTATCATCGGAACTAGGCTGTGTGTTCTGGACACTTAGGTGAAGAGAGGGAAAGAGCTGACAACTGAACACCACTTGGTGGTAAGTTGGATCCGACGCTTGGGGCACCGACCAGATAGACACGGACGGCCCAAACTAATAGTGCGGGTTTTCTGGGAACATCTGGCGGAAGACCCAGCGGAGAAAGATTTCAACTTCCACCTCCGGGAAAATTTCTCCTGCACTACTGGGGAAGTCGTGGACATTGAGTCCGAGTGGACGATGTTCAGAACCTCGATTGTTACAGCTGCGAGAAGCTGTGGCCTGAAGGCAGTTGGTGCCTCTCATGGCGGCAACCCTAGGCCCTGCTGGTGTACGCCAGTAGTGAGGGAAGCAGTCAAGTTGAAGAAGGAGGCTATCTGAGCTATGGTCGGAAAAAAGGTCTCCTGACTCGATTGAGAGGTACTGGCCTGCCAAGAGGGCGGCATCTGCAGTGTTGCGGGCGCTGTACCATTCCATGGTAGTGAACCGGGAGCTGCGTTCTCCAACAAAGCTCGCGGTTTACAGGGTTGATCTGCATTCCCACCCTCACCTAAAGTCATGAGCTTTGGGCACTGACCGAAAGGATGAGATCGCAGGTACAAGGGGCCGAAATGAGGTTCCTCCGCAGGGTTGCTGGGCTCACTCTCTGTAGTCCACGAGAGCCTCAGAGTTGAGTTGCTGCTCCTCCGGATCAAGAGGATCCAGTTGAGGTGGTTCGGGAACCTTGTAAGGATGCACCACGGTAGACTCCCCCCCAGCACTCTACCTGCGGCAGCACGTCCCACTGGGCGGAGACCCCGGGGTCAGCCCAGGCAATGCTGGTGGGACTATGTCACTCAGCTGGCCTTGGAACGTCTGGGAATTCCCCAGGAAGAGCTAGAGTCTGTCACCAGGAAAAGGGAGGTCTGGACCGCCCTCCTCAATATGCTGCTGATGCGACCCTCACCAGGACAAGTGGACTGATAAATGAACGAATGAATGAACACACTATACACAATACACACAATACACAAAACAGGATAGAAGTGCAAGAGAGAAAATGGAAAGCAAGTCACTAAATATAAATAATGAATTCATTATAAAAGTCGGATTTATAAAGATTAAAACTATTGGAGAGTTTATTTTACAAGGTGTGAGGCTCCACTAAGCTACGTAGACTTTTTTCATAATCCACCTGGCCATCACAATGATATCATCATCATCTCACCTGGTATACAGGATTGGGTTCGATCGAGACCCAGACGTCTACTGTATATTTGGAGTTTGCGTATCTCTCTCTCTCCCCGTGGTGGTGACGTGGGATTTTCTCCGGGTCCTCCGTTTTTTTTTCCCTCCAACATTTATTATGAACATCACCACACCTTTAGAGTATTTGGCTGCAGCTATAAATTGCCACGTCATGGTGATAAGCCCACTTGGTTCAGCTATCATTTGTTATAGCCAGGTCGCTCAGTGGGGCCTTGCATTCGTGAGCATGTGGTTCCCTGTGTCTCTCAGCTCAGGATGTCCAAGGCTCCTTTGCCTGAAGAAGGGTCTCTGCTCATCAAGCGAGAAGCCGCGGGACATCTGGGCTGTGAGATGTCACGCGGAGTGGACGTCCGATGGGATGACGACGCCACTGCCGCTGCTGCTGGTGAGTATCTCTCTGAGTTTTCTTTGCGCTGCAAACCCTCGGTGAGTGGCAGCATCGGGGAGTGAGGCTGACACATCACATGCTCAGCACTGCACCATTGCTACCCATAAACTCAGCACTGCCACCCATAGACTAAGCACTGCCACCCATGAACTCAGCACTACCACGCATAGACTCAACACTGCACCATAGACTCAGCACTGCCCATACAATCAGCACTGCCAATACAATCAGCACTGACACCTATAGACTGAGCACTGCTACCCATAGATTCAGCACTGCCACCCATACATTCAACACTGCCACCCATTGACTCAACACTGCACCATAGACTCAGCACTGATACCCATAGACTGAGCACTGCTACCCATAGACTCAGCACTGCCACCCAAAGACTCAGCACTGCCACTCATAGACTCAAGACTGTCACCCATAAATTCACCACTGCCACCCATAGACTCAAAACTGCACCATAGACTCAGCACTGCCACCCATAGACTCAGCACTGCCACCCATAGACTCAGCAATGCCCATAGAATCAACACTGCCACCCATAGACTCTGCACTGCTATCCATAGACTCAGCACTGCTGATCTATAGACTCAACACTGCCACCCATAGACTCAGCACTGCCACCCATAGACTCAGCACTGCTACCGATAGACTATCATTTGTGATGGCCAGGGTCGCTCATGAAAAAAATGGCTACACAGCTCAATGGGGCCTTACACCCGGTAAAATACAAAAAATAACATTGCCCTATCCACAAATAGTAAGGAGATGTTACGGTGATTATGTTGATAGAATACTCTGCTTGCCCCTGATTCTAGTTGTTGTCTGGGCTTGGTCACCTGAATGTGAAATTCTGTAATTGCTCTGCATCTACATCAGCAACTGTACGGAAGACAAAGAGACTCATAGATACCCATAGAGATCCAGACCCATAGAGACGCACAGCTACTCATAGAGATCCAGAGACTCATAGAAACCCATGACTCAGCGACTCATAGAGACTCATAGAGACACACAGAGACTCGGAGACCCATATTGACTCACAGAGATCCGTGAAGACTCAAACACAGAGACTCGCATAGACCCAGGCTTAGAGACCGATAGAGATCTATAGACTCATGGACGCACATAGAAACACATCGATCCATAGACTAATAGACATCACAGCGATGATGATACATTGCTCCGCTGCTCCTAATGCGGTTATCTGCTGGCTTGACCACCTGAAGTTGTAGTTATTGCTGGCTGCTCTGCATCTACATGAGCTAGCCATCAAATAAAATAATACAGTTTCTGTATTGTACAATGTCTCTGCGTTTGCGCCTATTGACGCTGCAATCCGAGCAGCAGCACCAACAGCAGCAGCAGCAGCGACAGCAACAACAGCACCATTGGCTTAAGTCTCCCTCTCACTGTCTGCTGCTGTCTTTCACTTGGTACAGACGACGATGAGGAGGAGCCGGAGGAGGAGGTGGTGGATCCTTCTCTGCCTGTGGGGGCGTTCATTAAGCAAGAATACGAAGAGGAGGAGGAGGCTTGGAGGAAGATGTTGCCCAAGGTGAAAGTGGAGAGGGAAGATGATGATGAAGATGGCAGTGATGGTGGTGGTGGTGATGGCAGTAAGTGTCATCTCTTGACAATCCTTTGCAAACAGTCGCCTATCAGCACCCCTAGTTTGTTGTCACTACATGATTATACACTACACTATACACGACTGTACACTACACACTACACCACTATACTACATTGAGAACTAATTTCTGTAGAACTGCTTCTAGTCGTGTTTAGTTTGTAGTCCTTCCTCCCCACACCTCCGATTAGCGCAGTTGGTAATGTACGGTGCTTAAGAAGAAGTTCAACCGACACACGTACATGCCATACGTCACAGTACAACCATCGACGTAATTTCCGTCGGGGTGGAAAACAAAGCCCTCAGGCCTCGACGCTTTTTGATTACATTTTTTAGTTAAACGCTCGCGTTGGTTTCAGTGCGGCCCTCACGTAAGCGACCTTTCACCCCCAGTGCAGGCAGTGAGCGACATTCGGATAAAGGTCGAAGAAGAGGACGACGATGAAGACGACAACGACAAAGACGACAATGACGAAGCAAAACATTCGCACTTTCGAGCGGGGCACCGACCGTCCCGTGGAAGTCAACCGTCGCACGTTGCGAAGGCCGAGCGGCGGGACCTCGGCGGTTCGGGCGGCGACTGCCAGGCCCCGGCGGTCAGCCACGGCGGTTCCCAGGAGAAGACCGGAGGGTCGAGGCCATCGCGGATAGACCGAGGAGGGGCTGCCGCCGGCGCCGGCTCGTCAGACGTGGCCGAGATTGAGGTGGAAGTGGAGGACGACGACCACGGTAGGGAGGGTTGGCGACGGAGCTGACACACCCCGCGCGGGGTCATTACGGGCGAGTTGGGACCCGCCAGCCTCAATGCACTTTTAAAATAATCATGTATACACTACACTACTATACACTACACTAAACACTATACACTACACTATACACCACACTACTAACCTATACACTACTACACACTACCATACGATATACTACACTGCTATACAGTACACTATACACTACACTACTATACAGTACACTATACACTACACTACTATACAATACACTATACAAATAAAAGTTTATTTTCATATGAACAGTATCCGGGGAATTGTGACAGAGTACAATGACATGCTTACTCGCAAGCTCTCCTCTCAAACAGTGTGGCAGCTATAAACAAAATTCAACCCAGGCAATAAGTAGACAGCATCAATAAAAAATACTACATCAATAAAAATAAGTCTGAGAAGCACAAAAAAGAACACTGTATAACAAAAGCCATGGTGAGAAATATAACATGGTCAGATAGACGTATTCAGGGTAGGTACCATTTACACTATGCGGGGGAAGAGGGATAAATTGGGATAAGTGGAGAGAATAGATTGCTTTGATTAAGCAGTGGAATTTATAATAGATTTTCGCAGCAGTCGTGGTGGTTGTGTAGGCATGTATGTGTGTTGTGTGGTAAGGTGAAGAGAGTCCTGCTGTCGAGGGCAGTGGTGGCTGCCCGTAGCAGCAAGCCGTGAAGCAGCCAGTCAGCAAGATGCTCCCAATGGTGCATCTGTAGAAGTCAGCGAGTATCGGAAGGGCCGAACTTCTTCGGCCTCCTGAGGGGGGAAGAGGAGGCTCTGGTGCGTGCGCCTTCTTGACAACCTGTGCCGGTGTTGTGGGTCCATGTCAGGTCTTCAATAGGGACACCGAAGAACTTGAAGCTGCTGCTGATCCACTCTTGTAGTCAACAATAAGCTCCTTTGTTTTACTGATGTTGACGGGAGAGAGGGTTGTTAGCTTGGCGCCACACTGCCAAGTCTCTTCTTACCTCCTCCCCGTAGGCTGTCCCATCGTTGTTATCAATCAGGGCCTACCATGGCTGGTGCCATCAGCAAACTCTGATGGAGTTGGTGTCATGCCGGGACACACAGTCATGGGTGAACAGGGAGTACAGCAGGGGGTGGGGACTGAGCTCACAGCCTTGGGGGGGGGGAGCTTCGGTGTTGAGAGTCAGTGTGGACGAGGTGTTGCTGCTATCCTTACAAGCTGGGTGGTCTGGCCGTCACAAAGCCGAGGATCCAGTTGCAGAGGGCAGTGTTCAGACCCAGGCACCCTGAGCTTGGTGACAAGCTTGGAGGGAACAACGGTGTTTAAATGCTGAGCTGTAAGTAAGTTCATCACATCCTCACATGTGAGTTGTTCCTCTTGTCCAGGTGCGGTAGAGTAGAGTGCAGTGCAATGGAGACGACATCGTCCGTGGATCTGTTGGAGCGGTATGCAAATTGGAGTGGGTCTAGAGTGTCTAGTATGTTGGAGTTGATGTAGTCCATGATCAACCTCCTGAAAGCACTTCACGATGACAGACATGAGTGCTACTGGGCGGTAATTATTTAGACAAGTCACCTTTGTTATACTTGCGGCACTGGAACAATGGTGGTCATCTTAGCCACGTGGGGAATAACAGACCGGGGGAACAGGGGGTTGAAAATGTCCATGAAGACGCCCTCCAGTTGGTCCGCGCATGCTCCCAGGATGCCGGCCGGGCTTCTCCATCTAAGCCGACAGGCTTTGCGAGCGTTCGCTTGTTTAACAGTTCCACTTACATCGGCCACAGAGAGAAAGCGAGAGCACATGGCCAGCCGGAGCAGCAGGAGCCTTGTGTGGACGGCTCTGTGTTGGTGGCCTCAAAGCGAGTGTGTGTGTTGCTCCGAACAGTTCAGGAAACTCTGGAGCGCTCATTTTTTCCTTTTAGTTTTTCCTTGAATATGCCCTCTCATTTTGACATTTTATATCTCTTGGTTTTATAGGTAGGACTACCTTCGTTTGATATATACTGTAAAGTATTGTGATGCCTTCTTGAGTGGGGGTGAGATTTTATTTTTAAAAATATATTGAATGAATTAACACAAATTATTCACCTTGTCCGGGAGAGAGGCATCGGTAGAGGGGTAGCAAAACCTGGCTTGCCCTTGTAGTCTTGCCACATGCGTCGGAGCTATTGTACCATGTTTCCAGCTTGATTCTGTATTTTCTTGCTTCTCTAATGGCTTCACGAAGGTCATACCTGGTCTTCCTTTATGCATCCATATCCCCGCAGCTGAATGCGGTCGTCCGATGCTTTAGCATGGCATGAATATCTACGTTAATTCAAGGTTTCCGATTTGGGGAATGTACGGAATGTCTTTGCGGGGACAACGTTCCTTTTACGCACTTCCTGATGGAACCCGCGACTGATGTTGTGAAGTCGTCGATGTCCGTGAAAGAGTCCTGAAATGTATTCCGGTCTGTGGATTAAAAAACAGTCTTGTAGCATAGCATCCGTGCCCTTCTGACCAACACTATCTTTCTCTCCACCGGTTCTTCTTGCTTTAGCCTCGGCATGTAGATGGCAAGTAGAAGCACAGACACGTGGTCTGATTGGCCAAAGTTAGGTCATGGGAGGGACTTGTACCCCTTCTTTGATGGTGGAATAGCAGTGACCCAGAGTGTTGGCGCCTCTGGTGGGGCAGGAGACGTGTTGGTGGTACTGAGGTAGAATTTTCTTCAGGCTGGCCCGATTGAAATTCTCCAGCCGTAATAAAGACGGCCTCTGTTTATTATCCCGTACAGTTCGTTGAGTGCAGTTGAGTGCTGTTGTCGTGCTGGCCTGAGGCAGAATGTAAACAGCGGTGACGATAACAGATGATAACTCTCTCATTGGATCATCATAGTATTATACACTACACTATACACCACACTGCTGTACACTACACTATACACTACACCACAATTCCTAAATTGAAAACTCATTTCTTTAGTACTGCTTGTTGTGTTTAGTTTGTTTCTCCCCACACACCTCCGATTAGCACGGTTAGCTATGTACGGCCCCACTGAGCTGTAGCACTTTTTTTCAGAAGCGAGCTGGCCATAACAAGTAATGATAGCAGCGCAGACAAGTGGCTGATTTCATCATCATCATCATGCAGAAATTTATAGTGGCAGCCAAATACTCTAAACTTGTACTGATGTTGATTATAAATGTGAAGGGAAAAACCGGAGTACCCGGAGCAAAATCCACGTGACCACAGGGAGACAGACGCAAACTCCAAAAATACAGCAGAACTCAGGGTCGGGATTGAACCCCCACGCCCTCCTGTATACTTGGCAAGGGAGTTAACATCTCGCCACCCTGGCGCCCTAAGGTTAAGAAATTTTATATGTGCTGCCCGCTAATACAATGGTAATGACTCCAACACGTTGGTTGTAGAAAAGGTGTGAGAAGATTTTATCTTCTGCAGCGTGCGTTCATGTCAACTTCCACCGTCAAAAGCGCCCCGAGCCTTCCCCGATCCTCTTCTCCTCTCCCTTTCCCGCTCTTTCACTCCCGTTTCTCTCCATCCAATCACTTCTCTCCTCCCGTCCCTCGTCACAAACTCTTCTCATCGCCCATTTGCTGCGCGAACCTTCTGACCTCTCACCTGCCGCGTCGGGAGGTACGTCTGACGTCATTCGTCTCCCTCCACCAATGGCGAGTGAGCTTATTCTTAGGTGTGCCGTTTCAGCCAATAGGGAGCCATTGTTGCTCGACGGCTCCACAGTCCACATAATGCTCACGCATGTGTCTGATTGCCTCTCCGTTTGTGCAGGTAAGTACTCTATACTATTTAATCAGTTTGTGTGTGTGTGTGTGTGAAACTGGTAAGGGCTGTCTTAATTTAAATAGTCCAGTATCATGAACATCTCAAAATGCATTTATGGCTGTCGCCTGATGGGGCTGGTTGTTGTAAATACCAACGAAACGTAATGTCTACTCGAATTGTAAATGTGTGTTGTGTGTTTACTCTCCAACACACAACAACTGTTTACTGTTGAACTAGTAAACTATTTGGCCACTTTTTTTGTTTATGTGACAACCCCTTAACTAAATTGGCCATGTCGTGTGGTGGTGGCGGGTTTAACGACACATTTATGCTTACACGATCTAACCCAAAAACCTCTCGTGGATAACATTGGTCGCGAATGCTCAACCACTCACGACTACGTATGCATGAAACTGCAACAAGAGTTTTTCAAACGTTGCCATCTTTGTGTTCTCTCCCCTATTGCAGAAGCAATGGCAGAGTGTGGACTTGCAAGACGCCGGAATGAAAATTCCCGGAAGGGGTTTTTCAACTACTACGACCACCAGACCAGGATGCAGCTCCACTCTGCACAGACCACAAGCACCAGCACCACCAGCAGCAGCAGCGAGAGCCAGCGGCAGTGGGAACTTTTCACGTGCAATCCGGAGCGCGAAGGTGACACGGAGACGCGCCGGGCATTGGACGGGTCGCGTCGGAGCCCAGCAGGCGCGGGAGGGATGCCCGCACAAGCACTGTCGCCCACGCAAGCGACGTCGCCCGCGCGCGTCTGCCCCGAGTGCGGGAAGGAGTTCGCCACCGCCAAGGGCTTGGGGCGCCACCGGAAGATCCACGCGAGGGAGAAGCCGCACCGGTGCGCCGTGTGTGCTCGGGGCTTCGTGCGCCCATCGGCCCTCAAGAGCCACGCTTGGGTGCACGCGGAGGAGCGGCCCCACCGTTGCACCGAGTGCGGGAAGGGCTTCGCGCGGGCCGCGTCCCTGAAGCAGCACGCCCAGACGCACACGGGCGAGAGGCCGTACCGGTGCACCGTGTGCGGCCGAGGTTTCAGAGTCTCCAAGGTCCTCAAGGATCACATGATGACGCACACCGGCGAGAGGCCGCACGAGTGCTCGGCGTGCGGGAAGAGCTTCATCCAGTTGTCGGCCCTTCGGAACCACGCGAGGATGCACACCGGCGAGAGACCATATGCGTGCTCCGTGTGCGACAAGGCCTTCACGCTCCTGAGAGTGCTCAGGGACCACGCGAAGACCCACACGGGCGAGAGGCCGCACGTGTGCCCTGTCTGTGGCAAGGGCTTCATCTTCTCCAAGGACTTCAGGAACCACGCGATGACCCACACGGGCGAGAGGCCGCACGCGTGCCACGTCTGCGGCAAGGCCTTCGCGGACCCGTCGGGCCTCGCGCTCCACGCGAGGATCCACACGGGCGAGAGGCCGCACGAGTGCCACGTCTGCGGCAAGGCCTTCAGACGCTCGTCGGCCCTGGGGAGGCACGCGAGGACGCACACGGGAGAGAGGCCCCACGTGTGCCCCGTGTGCGACAGGGCCTTTGCCCTGCCCAAGTTCCTCAAGGACCACGTGATGACGCACACGGGCGAGCGCCCCTACGCGTGCTCCTTCTGCGGCAAGGGCTTCATCAAGCAGGTGAACCTGGTGTGCCACGTGAGGTCTCACACCGGCGAGAGGCCGCACGCGTGCGCCGTGTGCGGCAAGGGCTTCGCGTACGCGTCGGTGCTCAAGAGCCACGCTGTGACCCACACGGGCGAGAGGCCGCACGCGTGCGCCGTGTGTGGCAAGGGGTTCGCCTACCGATCCGTCCTGAAGCGTCATGCAGAGACCCACGCGAAGGAGGCGGCAAAATGAAGACCCCCGACAGGCATCGTGAAGGAAGCGTGTTTTGTTGCGCTCGCTCGCTTTCGAACTAGACTCTGCGAAGATCGCGCGGTGCAAACGAAATACGTTTTGATGACAAAATAATAATAATAATACCTATTCTAGGTTCTTTCGGTAAAGTCACGTAGAAGGGAAACAATAAGATAAAAATATAAAACAATAAAATTCTCACGACGTTTCGACTGCAACACAAGCAATCATCATCAGGTGTGAAAACCACGACAAGAAAATTTGAAAATAATAATACCTTCTTTTATTCTCATTCTACGTGACTTTACCGAAAGAACCAAAGAAGATGAATCATTGCAGTCACGAAAGCTTTAAATCGAAAAATAATAATACCCTTTCTGGTAATAATACAGAAGGTGTGTCAAGATGTTAAAACACCAAATAGACACCTAACCACGCATACTTGTGGCAAAAAAATTCCAACAAACGTCCTAATAATATATGCACATTGTCTTTGAAACTGCTTGTACAGACCATAGATTCAGAGGAAGTATGTGTGCATGCGTATAGATTTAGCACGGTTGGCTGCGTACGGCGCGAAAGAAGTTCAACATAAGTACATAGATAGATAAAAATAGCATGAAATTAACATAACGAGAACAGGAAAATCATCGTACTAAGGAACAACTCATGCTTAATAACGATGGAAAAATGCAATATCGAGTATCAACCTACGTAAATCTGTTTTTGTCTTTGTCTCAACCTATTAAAGCAAATACATCGATGTTCTGGGGGATAGTGATTCAACTTAAAACACACAATAGATAACACCGGTCCTGTACCAATGCCATATTTTCTGTCTGTTTGCAACAGCAGAGGTGTAAAGTATTCCAACAAAACCTACATCTTCTTTGGTTCTTTCAGTAAAGTCACATAGATAGAAAATAAAATGTAAATAACAATTATATATAAAAAATAAAAAAACTCACGACGTTTCGATTGCAACACAAGCGGTCGTCATCAGGCAGCGAAAAAATTGTCTTACATTTTTTTAAATCTTATTTTCTATTTTTTTCTTATTTTCTATCTACGTGACTTTACCGAAAAATTCCTGCAGTCACGAAAGTTTTAAGTCAAAATTTAAAACCTACATCTGCTTTATTTACCTGGTCAAGGCCTATGATACTATCAATAGGCCTGGGCTTTTGGTTGTTTTTCGTGCTTTAATAATGATGGTGGGAAAGCCCAGGTAAAGCTACGTGGCCGGGAGTTGGAGCCATTCCGTTCACCTTGGGGTGCGACAGGGATGTCCTGTGGCTCCCACATTATTCAACATAGTTTTCAATCACGTAGTTCGAGAAGCCTTCCATGGCTGACTGGTGGAATCTCCATCTGGTGCAGATGCAATGGGAGGCTGATCGATGCTCGGGTGCGGTCGAGGGATGGCTCCCTATTGGTTAACCATGTTATGTATGCTGATCTGGTAATTGTTGCTCACATAGAGAATGAGTTGGAGGCACTGCTGCTAGACCTGGAGTGTACCACTAAGAGGTGAGGCCCCCACCAAAAATAAGCACCTACCTGGGTTGTTTGTGCCATCACACACTCCACGCCTTCAACTCCCCATTGGTGATGTGGCAATTGTGCATAGTGTAGATTTTGCCATACCTGGGCAGTGAGCTTATAATCAGCTCGAGTTTGACGGCAGTGGAGCGGCATTATCTTTTCATCAGCTGCGTAAAGCTGTGTGGAATCTACCTGGTCTGTCGCTCCACACGAAGCTTCGGGTCTTCCCGGCCATGGTCATACCCTCCCTTTATGCTTGTGAAACGTGGACCCCCTAATGGAACATCTTTACCAGTTAGAAACATTCAGGCTGGCCTGCCCACAATTCAACCTGGGATTAACCAGGCTGGATTTGTGTGAGGAGCTCACAAATCCTTGAAAGCTCTGGACAAAGTCCCATCGGTGAGCTCCGGCAGGTAAAGGCTGCGATGGCTGGGTCATGTAGCCCGCATGCCCAGTCACCGCATGCCGAAACAGCTTTTGTTCTGCCAGATAGAGGGGGCTAAACGGACGCAGCACTGGCTCGAGAAGATATGGAATGATGTCCACGAGGAAGTGGAGCTGAGTGGACTCGCCGATGACTGGTACGAGCGGTGTCAAGATCGGCCTCTGTTGAGGAGGCTCGTCAAGGGCGCTGCTCGGCAGTTTGAGGCAGTCGCCCTCCAACAACAACGGAGGGCAGAGTGAAGCTCACAACAACGAGCGGGGCGCCGTGCGGCTAAAACGCAGCGAGTTTGCACAGACGGGGGCACAGGTGGTGCATCTGACAGTCATCTCAGTCAGTCGACCCATGGGACCTGGGTCTGTCCCGTGACCTCCTGCCAGCGGGTGTTCGACTCTTCACGTGGCCTTAAAGTGCACATAGCCTGGCACAAGTGCCGTGGTGATATCGTGGCAAATGGCGGTTATTGTGTGTCTGTGCACCCCTATTTTCTTACGTAACTTTATTTAATGTTTTTTTTACAATACATTATTTATCACAGTATTACATGCATATGTACACTTTCTTATTGATCAATTTAACAATGTTTATCATTTACGTTGAACCGTAACACATTTAATAACACTGACCGTATATGGGCATTTAAATACTGTGCATTGTTGCGTTCCGAATTGTGTACCATCCTTCGACTTACGAACGGGTCTCAGGAACGTATTGTTGTTATTTTTTTATATCTAGGTGACTTTACCGCAAGAACCATAGAATAGTGTATAGTCGTGAAGTGTATAGTAAGTGTATAATGCAGGGTATAGTGTAGTAGTGTATAGTGTAGTATATAGTAGTGTATAATGTAGTGTATAGTAGTGTATAATGTAGTGTATAGTGTAGTGTATAGTCGTGTATAGTGTAGTGCATAGTCGTGTATAATGTAGTGTATAGTGTAGTATATAATAGTGTATAGTAAGTGTATAATGCAGGGTATAGTCGTGTAGTATATAGTCGTGTATAATGTAGTGTATAGTCGTGTATAATGTAGTATATAGTAGTGTATAGTGTAGTATATAGTAGTGTATAGTGTAGTGTATTGTGTATAATGTAGTGTATAGTGTAGTATATAGTAGTGTATAATGTAGTGTATAGTCATGTATAATGTAGTGTATAGTGTAGTATATAGTAGTGTATAGTGAAGTATATAGTAGTGTATAATGTAGTGTATAGTAGTGTATAGTGTAGTGTATAGTCGTGTATAATGTAGTGTATAGTGTAATATATAGTAGTGTATAGTGTAGTATATAGTAGTGTATAGTGAAGTATATAGTAGTGTATAATGTAGTGTATAGTGTAGTATATAGTAGTGTATAGTGTATATAGTAGTGTATAATGTAGTGTATAGTCATGTATAATGTAGTGTATAGTCATGTATAATGTAGTGTCTAGTGTAGTATATAGTAGTGTATAGTGTAGTATACAGTAGTGTATAATGTAGCGTATCGTAGATGTATGTGCTCTGCTAATTGGAGGTTCCGCATTTTGTCTCCCAAGTGCACCAACTTAGACTCCCATCGTGTCGCCCTCTTGCTGGGAATCATCGTTCACTCAGTCTCATCACGTCTACCACCTCGTCATCACGTCTACCACACTCGTCATCACGTCTACCACACTCGTCATCACGTCTACCACATTCGTCATCACGTCGACCAAATTGGTCATCACGTCTGCCGCACTCATCATCACGTCTGCACATACGTCATCACGTCTACCAAACTCGTCATCACGTCTGTATATACGTCATCGCGTCGACCAGCGCTCATCATCACGTCTACCCACCATCGTCATCACGTCCCCTAGTCAACACGTAATATCGCCATCACGTCTACCACTCGTCACGTCAACTCAGCATACGTCATCACGTCTAATACTTCACGTTATCACGTCCACCACTCGTCACGTCCTTGTGTTTACCAATCGCTTCGGGTTCGCCACTCGGGGCTGCTGCTGCGGGGAAACCGAGCGGAGGGCGAGACCCGGTGGGTGACTCCTGCTGCTGCTGCTGCTCCTCCTCCTGCTGCTCCTCCTGCTGCTGCTCCGCACTCCTCCTGCTGCTCCTCCTGCTGCTCCTCCTGATCCTCCTGCTGCTCCTGATCCTCCTGCTGCTCCTGATCCTCCTGTTGCTGTTCATCCTGCTCCTGCTGCTCCTGATCCTCCTCCTGCTGCTGTTGCTGCTCCTGCTGCTGCTCCTGCTGCACGTCCTCCTCTTATCCCTGGTCATGCTCATCAACCTCCTCATCCTACTGCTCCTCATCCCCTCCTCCTGCACCTCCTCATCCTCGCACTTGCCCAGTGTGTACCCACGCCTAATACCATTGCGGTTTCTTTGCGCTGACAGTCGTGTAGAATCCGAGGTTCTCAGAAGTTTATATATAACGACTCCTCTACTTACGAACATTCGACTTACAAACTTTCAGAGACGCGAACAAACCTGGCAGTATGTCCAGTTGCCTGTTGGGAACCGAGAGTCATAAGTTCAACCTATGCGCAATAGGTGGTGGTGGTGGCATCTACTTCTGCAGAACGTTAGAGAACCATTGACATCTACAGCTGCAGAACATGAAGAACCAGTGGCATCTACATCTGCAGAACGTGAAGAACCAGTGGCATCTACATCTGCAGAAGGTGAAGAACCAGCGGCATCTACATCTGCAGAACGTGAAGAACCAGTGGCATCTACATCTAAAGAAAGTGAAGAACCATTGGCATCTACTTCTGCAGAACGTGAAGAACCAGTGACATCTACAGCTGCAGAACATGAAGAACCAGTGGCATCTACAGCTGCAGAACGTGAAGAACCAGCGGCATCTACATCTGCAGAACGTGAAGAACCAGCGGCATCTACATCTGCAGAACGTGAAGAACCAGTGGTATCTACATCTGCAGAACGTGAAGAACCAGTGACATCTATGTCTGCAAAACATGAAGAACCAGTGGCGTCTACATCTGCAGAACGTGAAGAACCAGCGGCATCTGCATCTGCAGAACGTGAAGAACCAGTGGCATCTACATCTGCAGAACGTGAAGAACCAGTGACATCGACATCTGCAAAACATGAAGAACCAGTGGCATCTACATCTGCAGAACGTGAAGAATCAGCGGCATCTACATCTGCAGAACGTGAAGAACCAGTGACATCTACATTTGCAAAACATGAAGAACCAGTGGCATCTACATCTAAAGAAAGTGAAGAACCAGTGGCATCTACATCTGCAGAACGTGAAGAACCAGTGACATCTACATCTGCAAAACATGAAGAACCAGTGGCATCTACAGCTTCAGAACATGAAGAACCAGCGGCATCTACATCTGCAGAACGTGAAGAACCAGCAGCATCTACATCTGCAGAACGTGAAGAACCAGTGGCATCTACATCTGCAGAACGTGAAGAACCAATGACATCTACGTCTGCAAAACATGAAGAACCAGTGGCATCTACATCTGCAGAACGTGAAGAACCAGCGGCATCTACATCTGCAGAACGTGAAGAACCAGTGGCATCTACATCTGCAGAACGTGAAGAAGCAGTGACATCTACATCTGCAAAACATGAAGAAGCAGTGGCATCTACATCTGCAGAACGTGAAGAATCAGCGGCATCTACATCTGCAGAACGTGAAGAACCAGTGACATCTGCAAAACATGAAGAACCATTAGCATCTACTTCTGCAGAACGTCAGAGAACCAGTGGTATCTACATCTGCAGAACGTGAAGAACCTGTGGTATCTACATCTGCAGAACGTGAAGAACCGGCGACATCTACATTTGCAGAAAATGAAGAACCAGTAGCATCTACATCTGCAGAATGTGAAGAACCAGCGACATCTACATTTGCAGAACATGAAGAACCAGTGGCATCTACATCTGCTGAACATGAAGAACCAGTTGCATCTACATCTGCAGATCATGAAGAACTAGTGGCATCTACATTTGCAGAACGTGAAGAACCAGTGGCATCTACATCTGCAGAACGTGAAGAACCAGCGGCATCTACATCTGCAGAACGTGAAGAACCAGTGACATCTACATCTGCAAAACATGAAGAACCAGTGGCATCTACATTTGCAGAACGTGAAGAACCAGTGGCATCTACATCTGCAGAACGTGAAGAACCAGCGGCATCTACATCTGCAGAACGTGAAGAACCAGTGACATCTACATCTGCAGAACATGAAGAACCAGTGGCATCTACATCTAAAGAAAGTGAAGAACCATTGGCATCTACTTCTGCAGAACGTCAGAGAACCATTGGCATCTACAGCTTCAGAACATGAAGAACCAGCGGCATCTACATCTGCAGAACGTGAAGAACCAGCAGCATCTACATCTGCAGAACGTGAAGAACCAGTGGCATCTACATCTGCAAAACGTGATGAACCAGTGACATCTACGTCTGCAAAACATGAAGAACCAGTGGCATCTACATCTGCAGAACGTGAAGAACCAGCGGCATCTACATCTGCAGAACGTGAAGAACCAGTGGCATCTACATCTGCAGAACGTGAAGAACCAGTGGCATCTACATCTGCAGAATGTGAAGAACCAGCGGCATCTACATCTGCAGAACGTGAAGAACCAGTGACATCTGCAGAACATGAAGAACCAGTGGCATCTACATCTAAAGAAAGTGAAGAACCATTGGCATCTACTTCTGCAGAACGTCAGAGAACCATTGGCATCTACAGCTTCAGAACATGAAGAACCAGCGGCATCTATATCTGCAGAACGTGAAGAATCAGCAGCATCTACATCTGTAGAACGTGAAGAACCAGTGGCATCTACATCTGCAGAACGTGATTAACCAGTGACATCTATGTCTGCAAAACATGAAGAACCAGTGGCATCTACATCTGCAGAACGTGAAGAACCAGCGGCATCTACATCTGCAGAACGTGAAGAACCAGTGGCATCTACATCTGCAGAACGTGAAGAACCAGTGACATCTACATCTGCAAAACATGAAGAACCAGTGGCATCTACATCTGCAGAACGTGAAGAATCAGCGGCATCTACATATGCAGAACGTGAAGAACCAGTGACATCTACATCTGCAAAACATGAAGAACCATTGGCATCTACTTCTGCAGAACGTCAGAGAACCAGTGGTATCTACATCTGCAGAACGTGAAGAACCAGCGACATCTACATTTGCAGAAAATGAAGAACCAGTAGCATCTACATCTGCAGAACGTGAAGAACCAGCGGCATCTACATTTGCAGAACATGAAGAACCAGTGGCATCTACATCTACAGAACGTGAAGAACCAGTGGTATCTACATCTGCAGAACGTGAAGAACCAGCGACATCTACATTTGCAGAACATGAAGAACCAGTGGCATCTACATCTGCTGAACATGAAGAACCAGTGGCATCTACATCTGCAGATCATGAAGAACTAGTGGCATCTACATTTGCAGAACGTGAAGAACCAGTGGCATCTACATCTGCAGAACGTGAAGAACCAGCGGCATCTACATCTGCAGAACGTGAAGAACCAGTGACATCTACATCTGCAAAACATGAAGAACCAGTGGCATCTACATTTGCAGAACGTGAAGAACCAGTGGCATCTACATCTGCAGAACGTGAAGAACCAGCGGCATCTACATCTGCAGAACGTGAAGAACCAGTGACATCTACATCTGCAGAACATGAAGAACCAGTGGCATCTACATCTAAAGAAAGTGAAGAACCATTGGCATCTACTTCTGCAGAACGTCAGAGAACCATTGGCATCTACAGCTTCAGAACATGAAGAACCAGCGGCATCTACATCTGCAAAACGTGAAGAACCAGTGGTATCTACATCTGCAGAACGTGAAGAACCAGCGACATCTACATTTGCAGAAAATGAAGAACCAGTAGCATCTACATCTGCAGAACGTGAAGAACCAGCGGCATCTACATCTGCAAAACGTGAAGAACCAGTGATATCTACATCTGCAGAACGTGAAGAACCAGTGGCATCTACATCTACAGAACGTGAAGAACCAGTGATATCTACATCTGCAGAACGTGAAGAACCAGCGACATCTGCATTTGCAGAACATGAAGAACCAGTGGCATCTACATCTGCTGAACATGAAGAACCAGTGGCATCTACATCTGCAGATCATGAAGAACTAGTGGCATCTACATTTGCAGAACGTGAAGAAACAGTGGCACCTACATCTACAGGATAATATACAACTTTTAAAACCATTCCCCGTGTTTAGTGTATATTCCACAAACAACGTGTTTGGAATCTGCAGGAGTAAAGTTGGGAATTACGAGCAAATCGACTTACGAACAGACCTCTGCAACCCAACTTGTTCGTAAATAGAGGCGTCTATTTCCCGTAGCAAAGCTCCGCTGAGCTAGAACGATTATTTTTTTGTTCAAAGGGCAATTCGGACCGGTAGACATAACAATATTCCACGCAATTTTTTGAAATTTTTACCTAATAACCGCAATTATTGTGTAAGATTTACATTTTCGCACTTAAACTCCGGTGATTTTTTTTTTAAATAACATACAGTTTAAGTGAGGACAGAGAATGGCAGAATGGAGATGCAAGAGATGTCAGAATTTAAATAATCAGAATCTTGCATTTGTACTGCAGGAAGAGGTAATCCGATGAGCTATGAAGTTCTTTGCTCACTTATGTCCAGTAAGGGGGCACGGGGGGTCAGAACGTTACAACAAACACGATACTCACAAATACGATAGGAGTGCAAGGTATAGGAAAGGTAAACAAATCACTTAAAACAATATACAAATGAAACAACTATTTTTTTTATCTTACCAGGTAAGGTCCACTGAGCTATTAGCTGATTTTTCAGAAGCGACCTCGCCATAACAAATGATAGCTCAACGAAGTGGCTTATCACGTGGAAATTTATGGCAGCCAAATACTCTTGACATGTGCCGTGTCCCCCCCCCCCCCCCCCCGTCAGGTGATAACTGCAGAGAAGATCCCTGGGCAGCAGGCAAAATGCCGCGCAGAGCCAACATGCGATGGGAAGACATCGCAGCCGCTGCTGCCGCCGCTGCTGCCGCTGCAGCTACTGCTACTACCGGTGAGCGGTGTCTATGCGTTTTGCTTCCTTCTCGCCACAGAACTCTCGCTGGAGGAAGGGGGGGGGGGTGGTGTGTCGGAGTCGGCAGTGTCGACCGGCGTGAGTTTGACGCGTCGCACGATCATCGTCGTTGTCGTCACAGCTCTGTCTCTCTCTCCCGTGGCGGAGATGAGATACCAGCAACTCCAAATGTATCGCTGTGGAAGGATGTTGCCGCTGCTGCTGCTGCATCTAAGCTGGAGCCAAAGGGGTGACTCAACATAGATAGTTAGAAAAAGGGTTGCGGGTTTATCGAAGACGACCTGGTGATGCGGGCGGTGATTGAAAGGAAACTGGCTGCAAATTTGGACACACACACACACGTGTGATGTTGTATACATTATGTATACATTAACCCCTCCCCCCTCCTCCTCTAGTCTTAGCACCTGATTGTCTCACAAGAGACGACATCAGATTTATCCACTCCTCTATACCTATATTAAAATTTAACGAGATCCAACTAATACTTTAGAACGTAAGACTACTGCAATCATTGCAAATTCTTTAATTCCCAAGGCAGAGCAATACCAAATTTAGCCAAGGGCCTCAAAACCATCTAGACTGTATGGGCTACCAAAGATTCATGAAATCGGTATCCCATTACCACCCATAGTAAGTACAATAGGCTCTGCTACATATAAATTAGCAAAATATGTAACTAACCAAATACAGTTAAACCTTGGATTGCAAGTAACTTGGTATGCGAGTGTTTTGCAAGACGAGCAAAATTTTTAAGTAAATATTAATTTGATAAACGAGCGAGGTCTTGCAATACGAGCAGTACGTACAGTATACGCTTTGTCTGCTGAGCGTCACGTGATCACAACTGACATCTGTTTAACAACAATGCAATGTCACATTTCCGCGAAATCCTCAAAAGGAGGCAAAAGCAAGTAACATTGGATAGGTTCCTTGTTAAAGTCGCACAAAAAGAAAAAGATTCCAGTGAGCCAACTGATAGCAGTGATTCCGTGAGTAACAGTGAAAGTCGTCCTACACAATAACCCTCTCCTCTCTCTCGTCTCCCTCACACCAGCCACGGTTAAATTTAATTAATTAATTGTATTACTTTATATTAAATTTAAATGATAAAAAATATGAAAAGCTATTTTGTATTAATCATTTTTACATGAATATTTTTGGGTTGTGGAACGAATCATCTGAGTTTCCATGATTTCTTATGGGGAAATTCGCTTTGATATATGAGTGCTTTGGATTACAAACACGTTTCCGGAACGAATTATGCTCTCAATCCAAGGTTTTACTGTACAGCCCTACATTGGTAGGATATCTTCATTCATAAGAACTTCAGAACATCTTGTGAATGTAATTAAAGATATTTAACTTAACCCTAATGATATTCTGGTGAGTTTTGATGTAATTTCTCTATTCAATAAGGTTCCAGTTAACGAGTCACTTAAATTACTTGATACACTAGTAAATAAGATAGGTTTACCAACATTCCAAAACTAGCTGACCATTGTCTAAATAACACGTATTTCTTATGGGGAGGTGATTTCTTTAATCGGAAGGAGCAGCAATGGGCTCTCATTTATCTCCTGCTAAAGTGAATCCGTACATGGAAAAGTTTGAAACAAGAGCACTTGCTTCAAGTACATTAAAACCATATTTTTGGTTTAGATATGTTGATGACACTTTGGTTGTCTGGCCACATGGTAAAGATACACTTCATGCATTTCTAAATAATCTCAATGCAGAAAACCCAGCCATCCAGTTCACCATGGAAATGGAGGTGAATAACACACTCCCTTTCCCTGATATTTTGCTTGGACATGGCCTAAATGGTAAAATAACACAGCGTTTACCGAAAGGGAACGCACGCTGATGCCTATCTGAATGCCTATTCGCATCATCACCCCGCAGAGAAATCCTCTCTCATCAAGACACTCATACATCAGGCTAAAACAGTGTCAGATGGTAAAAGTTTGAGGAGAGAGATTAAACATGTGTAATGACAGGACCTGTCGGCCTGGAAAGGTAATCATGGATATGTGCAAGGTTATGTAACAACTAATCAGAAGGGGGGCGTATCTGGGTTAAAGGTAAAAGGTGGGGTTAGTTGGGAAGCTCCGGGAATCTGCTTAAAAGTTCTGGAAGGGGGCGTGGCCAGAGGCGGGGCCTGGCCACGCCGAGAGGTATATAAGGGGAATGGATCCGAGGGTTCAAGGTTATTGTGGGGCTCCCGGTCCTGGCTGCGTCGCTGCTCGCCATCTCTCCGTCGTACGGCCGCATGGAAGAGCCTCTGCGCGGCTCCCATCGCCGTCATCGTCACACTAGTCAGCCAGCTGTGTGGTTGGATGTAGGCGATGGGACTATGTAGAGAGGTCGGCTGTGCGTGGCTAAAGTAGAGACGTGGAAATATTACCCAGTGTTGTGCCCAGTGTGAGAATAAATAAGAAGTCCTCTACACAATGTGCCTCTGAAGTCGCCCATTACACATGTTAAAGAAGCACTACGACTGAATGGCTACAATAATGCTCAAATGAACAGAGCATTGAATGCCAAACCAAGATCGAACAGCAATACTGCTGAAAGCGATCAGATTATTAAAACAATTAAAATACCATATATCTCAGGAGTAACTTACAAATTTGCTCGTGTTTTGCAAAAGGAAAACATGAAAGTAAGATTTGGTACGGTACACAAAATTCTAAAACTAGTATATTGTACTAAAGATGAATTACCTATGTTATCAACAGAAGGTGTTTATCAGATTAATTTCTTATGCGGTAAATGCTATATTGGACAGACGGGACATAACATTAGTGTAAGACTAAAAAAAAACACCAAAGAAATATTGAATACTCTCAAACACAACTGTCGACAGTTGCAGAACATGCTTGCCAACATGGACACTCAATTTATTTTGATAACGTTGAAGTGTTATGTAAAACTAATTATTACTGGCCAAGACTAATTTGAGAATCCATTGAAATTTAGAAAAATACTCTGACAGCTACAGGCTTAGTGCAGCCTGGAAGGGTATTATTAAGTAATACATATGAGAAACACATACTAATTAATACTGCCCTCCCCCCCTCTGATTTCTGCACCTGATTGGTTTCAGTGATTGGGTTCAGTGATTGGGTTCAGTTATTAAGTAATACATATTAGAATTACAATTCCTTACAGAGGACTCATACTAATGAACTGATTACTAATGTATTATATAATTACAATACCCTCCTCTGATCTCTGCACCTGATTGAGTTCCGTGATGATGTCGTCCTGCTCTATATAAGACTGGAAGCAGGTGGATGGCTTCACTATTTTGGCAAATCGCCCGATGATGCTGGATGTAATTACTAGCAAAAAGGTCGTACTCAGATTGTAAATGTTGTGGATTCACTCTTCAACACACCGGTGGGCTGAAGTTGTAACTATTTGGTGTATTGTTTATGTGACAAACCCCTTACTGATTGCCCGTGTCGGGTGGTGGAGGGTTTCGACACATTTATACTTACACGATCTAACCCAAAAACCTTTATTATGAATAATATTGGTCGCGAAAGCCTATGTGTTAAACTGCTCTATTTAAGACCGAAACAGGAGTAGATTTTCTCCACAACTCTGTGGCTGTCACCTGATGATGCTTGTTGCTCTTGTTGGAATTACTGACGAAACGTCACGACTACTCGAATTGTAAATGTTGTCATGGGTTTGCTCTCGAACACACAACTGGTTTGTGTGCTGCACTAGTAACTCATTGGTACGTTTTCTTTACATGACAAACCCCTGACTGATTGGCTGTGTCTCGGGGTGGTGGCAAGGAGAGGTAATCCGATGAGCTATGAAGTTCTTTGCTCACATATGTCCAGTAAGGGGGCACGGGGTTCAGAACGTTACAACAAACACGATACAGAGACTCCTCTACTTACGAACAAACCCTGTTCTTATGTTCAGTTGCCTGTTCGGAGAGTCATAAATTCAACCGCCGCGCAATAGATGGCGGTGGTGGCATCTACATCTGCAGAGCGTGAAGGTTCCAGAGGTCTATTCGTAAGTCGATTTGTTTACGCCAGACTTTACGCCTGTCGATTCCAAATATGTTGTACGGTGTGTACACTAAACACGGGGAATGCCAAACTTGATTTGAAGCTTTCGTGACTGCAGGAATTACTCTGGTTCTTTCGGTAAAGTCACATAGAAAGAAAAGAAATTAAATAATAGAATACGACGTTTCGATTGCAACACAAGCAACCGTCATCAGGTAGAACTAAATTGTGTTGCAATCGAAACGTCGTATTCTATTATTTAATTTATTTTCTTTCTACGTTACTTTACCGAAAGAAGCAAAGAGTAACGGGGAATGCCTTTAAAAGTTGTATAATCTCTTGTAGATGCCACTGGCACTTCATGTTATGTAGATGCAGATGCCACCACCGCCATCTATTGCCCAGCAGTTGAACGTACGACTCTCGGTCCAAACAGGTAACTAGACATACAGACAGGTTTGTTCGTATCTCTGAAAGTTAATAAGTCGAATGTTCGTAAGTAGAGCAGTCCCTGCATTGTATTGTTGTAACGTTCAGACCCTGTGCCCTCCTTATTGGACATCTGTAGAAAAAGAGCTGTGCAGATCATCGGATTTATTTCTCCAGTTACAATAAACTAATGCTGCATTTTTGTATGATAATAAAAATACAATTATAAGATTTGACATTCACGTGTCTTGATTTCCCCCCCCCCCCACCCCCCGTACAGGAGGAGTGGTACCTTATCCGACCGTGAAGGCATTGAGTGGTCGCTTGGAGCGTAACCCTCGGAGGCAGACGTGGCTCCAGGTGAAAGAGGAGAGAGAGGACGAGGAGGAATGCCGGGGTGAGTGACTTTGCTGTAGCAATGTTCTGACCCCCGTGCCCAGACAATTTGTGACAAAGAGCTTTATAGCTTATCAGATTCCTCATCACCCTCCTCCCCTCCTCCTCGTCCTCCTCCCCACCTCCTCCTCCTCTCCCCCCCCCATTCTCCCCCTTTTCTCTTCCCCTTCCTCCTCCCCCCTCCCCTATCTCCATCCTCCCTCCTCCTCCCCCCCTCCTCCTCCCCCACTCCCCCTCCACCCCCTCCTCCTCCTCACTCCCTCCTCCTCGTCCACCTCCTCTACCTCTCCCTCTCCTCTTCCACCTCCACCCCCCCCCTCCCTCATCCTCTTTCTCCACCCTTCCTCCTGTAGTCTTAAATAAAATATTCAAATTGTTCTGAAATAGTAGAAATGGAGGTATTTTATTTAAGACAGGAAACAGGAGCAGGATTTCTCCACAATTCTGGCTAATCGCCTGATGAGGCCTGGTTGTTGTTGTGGTTGTCTCTGTTGTTGTTGTAATTACACCGGCGACCCGTCACGGAACTGGAATTGTAAATGTGTGTTGTGGGTTTCACTCTCCTACACACACATGGCCGGTTTAGTGCTGAACTCGTCAACTTCATTGGCCACGTTTTGTTTACGTGATGAACCCCTTATTGGTTGGCTGTGTCGAGTGGTGGAGGGTTTAACGACACAACATTTATACTTTTATATCTAAACGCACTCTTAACCCCAACAAAATGACTTCTGTTATGCGGCGATGATGACGTAGCTTGCTTCCTTTACGATGCAGACGCGTCGTCGAACTTGATAATAATTGTTTTTTGTCGTCGACTTCGTTAACAGAGGTTAGGGCTGATATTCATATCCCAGCCGAAGGAGGTGACATTCGAGTTAAAGAGGAGGATGAGGAGGGGCGGAGCGAAGAAGATGGAGTGGGAGGAGGAGGCCTTCGTATCAAACAAGAGCCCCTGGAGCCCGATGAGGAGCGAGCGGTTAACGACGTCTCCCCATCGGCCTGGCGAGGAGACGGCTGGGCGCCTTCGTCGGGTGTGGCGGAGGTGGAGGTGGAGGTAGAGAATGAGAGCGACGGTGAGTGTGTGTGGGGCATGCCAGTAGTGGTATAGGAGATGGTAACTAACTCACCTGGTGCGCAGGGAGGTAGTGGGTTCGATCCCGACCCTGATGAGATGTTAACTACCTCGCCTGGTGCACAGGAGATCGTGGGTTCGATTCTGACCCTAATGAGATGTTAACTACCTCGCCTGGTGTACAGGAGGTTGTGGGTCCGATCCCGACCCTGACGAGACGTTAACTACCTCGCCCGGTGCGCAGGGAGGTAGTGGGTTTACAACGACAACAAAAAATAACACGAGGCTATTTCGTCCTGTCGTCATTTATATTTTAACACCCGCCCACGCGAGGCATAGCAGCGGAGGGCGGACCCGCGAGGCGCTCCGGCGAACGGACGCGCGACGACGACGACGACGACGACGACGACGAACCCCGACGGAGGCCGCCGCCCGAGGGCGGGCATGCGCGAGTTCACGCTTGCCCCGAGTGCGGCAAGGCGTTCGCGACGACCAAGAGCCTCAGGCGCCACCAGAAGATCCACCTGCTCGTGAAGCCCTACCAGTGCCCCGCGTGCGACAAGGGCTTCGTGCGCCCCTCCACCCTACGCAGCCACATGTGGATCCACACGGGCGAGAAGCTGCATAGGTGCTCGGCGTGCGGCAAGAGCTTCTCGCAGTCGTCGTCGCTGCAGAACCACGCGCGGACGCACACCGGCGAGAGGCCGCACGTCTGCCCCGTCTGCGGCAAGGGCTTCATCCAGTCGTCACCCTACCAGCGGCACATGATGACGCACACGGGCGACAGGCCACACAAGTGCCACCTGTGCGCGAAGTCCTTCACCGTCGCCAAGTTTCTCAAGGACCACCTGATGACGCACACGGGCGAGCGGCCCTACAGGTGCTCCTTCTGCGAGAAGGGCTTCATCAAGCAGCTGAACCTCGTGTGCCACGTGAGGTCTCACACCGGCGAGAAGCCGCACACGTGCCCCGTGTGCGGCAAGGGCTTCGCCTACAAGTCGGTGCTCAAGTGTCACATGAGGACTCACAGGGGGAAGATGGACCAACATTAGCGGCCCTCTGTAGGATGAATAAAGTGTAAAACAAAGGCCACGTGACAGTGTTAGACATTTGTGGATTATTAGATAGCCTGGGCTTTTTTTCACTTTCGTTTAAAAAAAACTCAAATGATAAGACAATACTACAAGATTGCTGTGCATATATCGAAATAGGGATTGTAAATCCTATGTCATTCACTACCACCAGAAAGACACCCGATGACCCACACGGGGCCTTACAGGGTGCCACCGTGTGACGATAATCAAGTCGGTGCTTGAGTATCACATGAGGACTCACAGGGGGAAAGTGGACCGACACGAGCGGCTTCTGGGATGGAAAAAGTATAAATATGAAGGCCACGTGACAGTGTGGATTATTAAAGAGTCTGGGCTTTTTTTCGGTTTAATTAAAATGAAAAATTATAAGACCAGAGTAACACTACAAGATTGCTATAGCTACAGTAAGGTTTCAGAGTATGCGGGAGTAGGTAAGTTCCGTGTACCTCCGGTAAGCGCGAATTTTCATAAGTTGGGGTTCGCCTGTATGAGTATAGATATACATTGGAAATATATACACTCCTATATACAGTAAAACCTTGGATTGCGAGCATAATTCGTTCCGGAAACGTGTTTGTAATCCAAAGCACTCGTATATCAAAGCACTCGTATATCAGTTGTGATCACGTGACGCTCGGCAGACAAAGCGTATACGTACTACTCGTATTGCAAGACCTCGCTCGTTTATCAAATTAATATTTCTTTAAAAATTTTGCTCGTCTTGCAAAACACTCGCAAACCAAGTTACTCGCAATCCAAGGTTTTACTGTACTACTATATCACTAGAAACTACTATACGAGTGTAATATATAACATGTAAGAGTGTATATGAAATGTATATAAATGTACATAAATGTTTATTGAAGTCAAAGTATTGTACAGTAAATGATTCACTAATCATCGGTTGCATCAAAGTCAGATAGAAAACGAGATTATTAACACGAGACTAGAACACTAGATATTGTTTTGGACACGTTTCTTGCGCGAGCGATACAGTTACATGCCCTCAAATACACATGGCGGGGGGGTGATTTGACCCCGTGCGTGTAGCGAAAGTAAAGTCACAGAGTGTAAGGATGAATTGGGGTGGTCAGTCGCGTATGAGCGGGTCCGCGTACTCTTAGCCCGCGTACTCTTGAGACCTATCGAAATCGGAAATATCTTTCCTCGGTCATTCATCGCCACCGATACTCATACGTTTAACTTCCAGAGAGGCATGCGATGACCCACACTGGGCACTATAGGGGTTCTCGAGTGCCACCCTGTGTGATGACAAATCAATTCGGTGCTTGAGTATCACATGAGGACTCACAGGGGGGAGATGGACCAACGCTAGAGGCCCTCTGTGAGATGGATAAAGTATAATATATTTTAAAAAGGCCATGTGACAGTGAGTGTGAAAATAAGAAGAGGTTTTTCCCTTTCTGGTGTTAAGATCTTCAAACACCAAATAGATAAAAAATTGACTTAACTTTCGTGACTGCAGGAATTCGTATTCTTGGTTCCAAGAATACCAAATAGAAACTTTTTTGCAATGAATAAAGGCCGCATTAACCACACACAGTACTTGTGGTGAACATGCAAAGAAACATGCTCTGATAATTAATACATGTATTGTCTTTGAAACTGACTGTTCTACATCATAGACATCAGCCTTCTTTATGGCCTAGTCCAGGGGTGGGCAAATTTTTTGACTCGCGAGCCACAATGAGGGGCCCAGGCCCTTTCGAACCCTATACACCACACTCCCAGTCAAAGTGCGCCATCTAATGGGGAAATGGCATTACAGGAGAAAGGTAAAATTTAATTTAATAGTAATAATATTTGGACAAGTTCGGCGGACCGGATTAAAAAGCCCATGTCTGGCCTAGTCTCACTACCAGTGTCAGACCAGAGAAGAACAGCAAAAGGCTAACAGCACAAATACAATGCAAGTATCAGAGCTTTTACCGATACTCTTTTTTATTTTGTCTGAACACGTGAAAGTGAATCCGACGAGCTGAGACATGGCTCAAACGTGAATGCTGGTGTGGCTCAGCATAGGGTTTTTTTCCCCATGTATGTACCCGTACGGTGAACTTCTTTCGCGCCATTACGTAGTTAACCGTGCTAATCGGAGGTGCCAGGGGAAGGACAAAACTAAACAACAACAAGCAGTTCGAAAGAAATTAGTTTGTCAATCTGAAAGTTGCATAGCTCCCAATGGCTTGCGAATATGTGAAGAAAGCGTTCCAGACGGCCATAGAAGAGCATCTGAAAGCACCGTGCGATATTGCTGTGTAAAGTGGTGTAGTCTATAGTAGTGTAGTGTATAGTATATAGCATAGTATAAAGCAGTGTATAGTAGTGTATATAGCGTCTGAAAGCACGCAATATGGTGACAGTCTTTGTTCGATGGGCAGCCAAAAGCCACCACCGCCGCTGCTGCTGCGAGGCTGGAGCGGAGTTCGCGTGACGACGATGGTTTACGCTAATTTCTTCAGGAATGCTTTCTGCGTTCAGGTTTTTGTACTTCCGCCGCACCCACGTACGCACCCGCGTGCGTACGACACGTCGATCGGAGGATGAAAGTTGGGATGTGGGGGGAGGGAGCCATAAGGAGGGGTTTAAAAGGGGAACGATCGTAACCATTGTCGCAACAGCCCTCTTTTGTGCCTGTGTAACACGATTTGCGCTGTCCCTTCTTCTGCCTGTCCATGTTGGTTAGACCTCCCCCCCCCCCCAACCCGATCGCCGATTGAGACTTAAGTGTGCATTGGAGAACGCGAATCTCTACGAGCGGTGTCCTCAGTTCTAGAGCAGCGCAAATGGGGAGGGAAATCGCTTCGGTTTTTTTTTTGTGGCGAGTTCTCTCGGCGTTTCGCCTGCCCTAGGAAGTGAAGTGCCTTTGCGTGGTGGTAATAGAAATAAAAATCCACAATGGAGGTTTTGTTTGGGTTAGATCACGTCAATATGAATGTGTCGTTAAACCCGCCACCACCCGACACAACCAATTAGTAAGGTTTTGTCACGTAAACGAAATGTGCCAATTCGTTACTAGTTTAGCACTAACCAGTTGTGTGTTGGAGAGTTTTGTTTACGTGACAAACCTTACTAATTGGCTGTGTCTCAGGGTGGTGGCAGGTTTAACGACACATTTATATTTACGCGATCTAACCCAAACTAACCTCTATTATGGATAATATTGGTCGTGAAAGCGCTACTACTATGTGTTAAACCAAAAGTAAATACATATAAAATTATATTTTATCGTGTACCGCACGAGATATACAGTGGCGTGTTTTGTGTGCGAGTGTTTGAGTAGCTTGGGATGGTCGTGTAGAATCAAAATATTTATACTGGAGGAAATCTGATGAGCTATGAAGCTCTTTTTCACATACAGTCCGTTCACCTATAACACGGAAGTTTTCATAATGTGAATTAACATATATATAACGTGCTGAATGTATATTCTTGGTTCTTTTGGTAAAGTCATGTAGAAGTGAAACAAAATAATACAAATATAAAACAATAAAATTCTCACGACGTTTCGACTGGAACACAAGCAATCATCATCAGGTGTGAAAACCACAGCAATATTTTTATATATACATATTTATTCTTTTATTGTTTCCCTTCTATGTGACTTTACCGAAAGAACCAAGAATATGAATCCCTGCAGTCACGAAAGCTTTAAATCAAAAAGTGCCGAATGTTATTAAAGAAAGGCATTTTTTTCAGGGTGGTGGCAGATGCCAAATTGGATATAATGCGATGGAGCGAACTGCACTACGTGGCACAGCACGAGTATGAATAAGCAGTGGTCGTAGCATCATCGGTACCGATAAAGTAATTTTTATTTTACTTCTTGGCGGTTAAACACTTTGACGGCTGTATTCATGCCAGAAAGGATAAAGCCTTATTATCATTCCATACTTTTTTTTTTATTACAGTCTGTTCTCCTCTATAACGCGTGGTAGTTTTCCTAACGCAAATTGGATATATAACACGATTCATGTAATTTTCTTTCTCATAAGGCGGATGCCGAATTGGATGTAAGGCGATGGAGTGAACGGAACTACTTCACGCGGTGCGAGTAGGAACGGCTGCCGATGATGCTACGCCGAGCATCATCGTCGTCGCACAAGGCGTTGGGATGCTGCTGGATGCTGCTTCTAGATGCTACCCACCACGCACCTTGGTCTTTGTCCGGCCCTGCGTTACGCAACTCACGCGCGTTATCGCGGACTGTGCTTTACCCCCTATATCATATATTATTTATCATAACGCGATTTTTTTTTCCATAACGCGGTGTTCTTCAGGAACACAACTACTACTACCGCCACGTTGTAGGAGAACAACACCGGATGCCTGGGAGGAGCTCGGGGTCAGATCAGTACAGGAAGAAGTGGAGATTGGTGTGTGTGTGGTAGTGTTTGCATGTCTCACGGTGGCGAGATGTTAACTACCTCGCTTGGTATACAGGAGGTCGTGGGTTTGATCCCGACCCTGATGCCTGTTGTATCGTATCACGATGGCGAGATGATAACTACCTCGCCTGGTATACAGGTCGTGGGTTTTATCCCGACCCTTATGCCTGCTGTATATTTGGAGTTTGCGGCGTCTCTCTCCCCGTGGTCATGTGGATTTTTTTCCCCGGGGATCCTCCGTTTTTTTCCCTCTGCATTTAGAATCAACGTCGCGTGTTTAGAGAGTATTTGGCTGCTGCTATGAATGTCCACGTGATGACGATAAGCCCACTTCGTTGAGCTGTCATTTGTGATAGCTAAGTCGCTTCTCGAAAATAAGCTGATAGCTCAGTAGGGCCTTACCTGGTAAAATAAAAAAATATCTTGATTTGAAGCTTTCGTGACTGCAGGAATCCATACTCTTTGGTTCTTTCGGTAAAGTCACGCAGTTAGAATAAAATAAAACAAATCACGACGTTTCGATCGCAACACAAGCGGTATATTTATTTTTTGTGATTTTGCTTACCTTCGCTATACACTCCTATCGTGTTTCTATTATTATTCGTTGTGGCTTTCTGACCCGCCCCTTACTGGACAACTGTGAAAAATAGCTCCATAGTTCGTTGGATTTCTCCAGGAAAAATACAGATTCTGATTCTGTGTGTATAGGTGCGCTTGTGTATTGGGGAGCGGTGGCGCAGCAGTTAGGAGCACTGCGCTGCGAAACCTGGCTACGACCCGAGTTCGATTCTCGCTCACGCCCAACATCGGTGATTGCGATTATCTGAACTGGTACTAGGCCTACCCCTAGGTCGACTCAGCCTTGCGGTGTGTAAACATCGCCACTGCTACTCGCTAACAGCACTTGCCCCAAGTCTGTTAGAGGCTACATGAGGGACCATTGTCTTTATGTATTGTGTTAGTTACGGTAGGGTGGAGGATCGGTGTGATGAGTGCGTGTGCCAGGGTGTGTTTGCCAGTGCATTCTGTGACAGTGTTCTGTAGTGTGTGGAGTATGTGTATATGTATGTATGTTGAACTTCTATTGCACTGGACATAGCCAGCAGTGTTAGTTGGTACGAGCTCGTCTACAGCGTGTTAAGTATACGAACGAAGTGCATGGGACAGTCCTCGACTTACTAACATAATTGTATCGTTCTATCAAACTGTTCGTAAGTCGGAACATAATGTGGGTTTATTTCAATTCCCATACGGTCAGTGTTATGGAATGTGTTCCGGTTCGACAAAAAAATGTAAGAAATATTGTACATTTGCATGTAATACTGTAAAAACAAATACTGTCTGATGAATAAAACATTAAATAAAGTAACATGAATAGAAAAAAATATTGAGTCCCGCGTGCTTACTTGTCCAAAGGGGCGCAAGTCACACAGATACACAACAACCGCCATTCACCACTAAGTGGCGGTGACGTCACCATGGCGCTTGTGCCAAGCTATGTGCACGTTAAGGCCAGGTAAATTGTCAAACGCCCGCTGGCAGGAGGTAACGGGACAGACCCAGGTGCTATGGGTCGACTGAGATGACTGGCCGATGCACCACCTGTGCCCCCTACTGCGCCAACTTTGTGTTTTAACCACCCGGCGCTCCACTCGTTCTTGAGCATTGCTCCGCCCTCCGTTGTTGTTGGAGGGCGACTGCCTCCAACTGCCCAGCAGCGTCCTTCACGAGCCTCCTCCACAGAGGCCGATCTTGACACCGCTGGTACCGGTCATCGGCAAGTCCACCCAGCTCCACATCCTTTTGTACCACATCATTCCAAAGACCCCTTGTAAAGCTCATAACAGACTTTTGGGGCAAGTGCTGTTAGTAGCAGCACTTATGAAGGCTGGCACTGTGGAACACGGGGGTGGTGGTGGCCAGCACCACGCCAAGCCGCTTGTCTCTTTCGAGTGGCGATGTCTACTACACACCACACCAGGTAACTCATATTAGGCTGAGTAGACCTTGGGGAGGCCCAGGAGCGTTAAAATCATCGTCACTGGTGGTGTCGGCCATGAGCGGGAATTGAACTCACGTCACCAGATTCCTAGCACAGCGCGCTAACTGCTACACTACCGCTCCCCACATTTACATATACAGTAAAACCTTGAATTGCGAGCACAATTCGTTCGGAAACGTGTTTGTAATCCAAAGCACTCGTATATCAAAGCACTCATATCAGCTGTGATCACGTTACGCTCGGCAGACAAAGCGTATACGTACTACACGTATTGCAAGACCTCGCTCGTTTATCAAATTAATATTTAACATTTTTGCTCGTCTTGAAAAACACTCGCAGACCAAGTTACTCGCAATCCAAGGTTTTACTGTACATAACATCACCCGTAATATAGCTTTAACAGACTGTTGGGGGCAAGTTCGATTAGTAGTGAGTAGCAGCAGCACCTATGAAGTAGTGGGCTTAACTGCGTTGGTGGCCACCAACCATCGAACAAGAGTGTTTAGCACTTGTGTGGGCAGTGCAAAAGCTCAGAATGTACCTCTATGGGAAGGCGTTTACTATAGAGACTTATAAATCCCTTTTGTATTTAAACAAAGCTCGCATGGAGAACGGAAGGGTCATGTGATAGGCCATGGCGTTACATCGCTACAGTTATACCATCAGGGTGTTAAGGGGTAGTGAGAACGTCGGAACAGATTCTTCGAGTCGGAGTGACTACGACGATCCATCAGCTTAAGGGAAAATCACTGCTCAGTGTCGTAAAGAGTCAATAGAGCATAGACTTCCCAAAGTGGGGGGGGGCAATGTGACGAAGGCTCTGCGCGGGCTGTTTCCCATCGCTAAATGGATATAGAGGGTGAACACCATACAGCATGGGCCAGGATACGGAGGTTCAAATTGGCTAAGAGAGATAGGTGGTATGACAATTTTTGGGACCAGTCTAGGTGGGGCTGATGGGGGGTTGGGTGCCCCTGAGTGGTATACAAGGCTGTGCTCAGAGCAAAGCAGGGAGGAGGTCATACCTCTGAGCACCTCAGCAACCCATACAGCACTGGATGAAAGCGGGCTTCAAGCCAGGAGCAGCGGACTGGATTCTGGCCAAGGGAGACTTCCTTAGCCCACCCAGGGCTGGCCTGGGCAGGAATGAGGCTTGGAACGAGGCAAGCTGGCGAAGCAAGAAGCGAGAAGCATGGCCGAAAGCGGGGCCAGTGCACCGTGCCACTGCTGGTTGTACCCCTGTGATCTCGGAAAGGAGGAGTTGGCCTCTGTTGCGTCTAACCAGGGTGTCCTCATGTGGAGAATGCGTGTGGGCTGGGATCTACTGTTGTGTGCAGCATGCACAGTGGTGGCTAATGTAAGACTCAGCATTGATGGCTGCATGGTGATAAATGGTGTGGCCAGGGAGAGTTGCACAATTTCAGCGTAGTGTGTGTGTGTGATGGGTTCGTACTGGCGCAGGAACATGTCCTTGAACTCGTAAGGAGAAATTGTATAGATAAGAACCATGTTTATTTAAAAGCCTCTAGAAGTGTCCGGTTGATATTAATACACACATACCTCTTCAGGACGTGCATCTGAGACCTCCGTTAATCGTATGGCAATCCACCTACACCACACAGTCACCCCATTACAGGGCAAGAATTCCCTGGCTCACATAAAAAAAAATGATTACAATTCAGAGTGGGGCGGGGAGTGAAGTTTGGGGGAGAGCAGAATCCCCCCCACCCGCCGTTCCCCTGGCCGCCCCGTGACAATTTTCAATGTAGTATAGTGGTGTAGTGTATAGGAGTATAGTATATAGTAATGTATAGGGTAGCAGTATATAGTGTACTGCATAGAGTGTAGTGCAAAGTAGTATGTATGTACGTTGAACTTATTTCACACCGTACGTAGCCAACCACACCAATCCGAGGTGCGCGTACGTGGGAGGTGGGAGAAAGAAGCACAATAAACCTGCACACAACAACAACAAAACACAGCAACAAACCCGAGCGGCTCTTAAAAAAAAGAATAGGGCGTCATCAAGTTGAAACGAGGTTACCCTGGCTGCTGCTGCTGCTGCTTCTGCTGCTGCTCCTGTAGCTGCTGCTTCTGCTGCGGCAGCGGAGCGTGGTCACCGCTCACGTGCGCGTAGAGGTCCGACGAGCGTACGAAGCTGGTCCCGCACACGGGGCACGCGAGGACGCGCCCTCCCTGGTGCAGCACCAGGTGGTAGCGGAGTCCCGAAGGCCACGCGAAGGCCTTGCCGCACACGTGACAGGCGAGTGGCTTCTCGCCCGTGTGGACCCTCGCGTGATTCCTGAGCTTCGAGGCATGCCGGTAGCACTTGCCGCACACCGGGCATCGGTGTTGCGGCCCCTCGTTGCCGGTACGCCTCCCCGTGCGGCGCCTACGGGCGAGTGAGACTGTGTGAGAGAACAGCGGAAGGGACGATTAAATTTGTACTGCGTGTGTGTGTACCACAAAAAAACACATTAAAAGTCTCACTAGGCTTGTGCCGGAGGTCCCGGAGGGACAGGCGACTATGACGTACACTGGCCAAACCCCATTTGGCGGAGCCAGGAGACTAATTCCGCACCCTCGGGGTTCCTCCAGAAATAGCAAAATGCTACTGCGAGTGGCCACGTACAATGTTCGAACGCTCACTGTGGAGGAGAGGCTGCCACTCCTGGACCAGTACCGCCTAGCTCTGCGCGATTCAGGAGGTCCTGTGGACTGGCTCTGGCTTCAGTGACCATGAGGGGTGGACAGTCCTCTACTTGGGGCAGGAGACTGCCAAACAAGGAGTGGCTCTTCTTCTGAACAAAATAATGAAGGGGCGTGGGAGCGTGGCGGTGAGGTGTAGGAAGCTGTAAGCCCCTGGCTACTGTGGGCTCGCCTTCCCATCAACCAGAGGCGTGGAGTGGTGGTGGTAGTTACGTACACCCCCACCGAAGATGTATATCATTGGAGGGATGCAGGCAAGGGCGATGAGTCAGATGCCTTCTATGACCTCCTGTCACAGGTGCTAGCTAAAGTGGACCCTCGGGATAGAGTCATCCTCTGTTGGGCGACTTTAATTCCTGAGTTGGTCATGATGCTGCCACCTGGGCTCGAGTGATCAGCTCAATAACAACAGTAGGAGACTGCTAGACTTCTGTGCAGCCCATGGGCTTGTAATTACCAACACGCTGTTCTGGCATTGGCACATCCACACAACACCATGGATGCGCGCTGGGTGGAGGAGGCTCATGAAGGACACTACTGGGCAGTTGGAGGCAGTCGCCCTCCAGCAACAATGGAGGGCAGAGGAGTGACGCTCACAATAACAAGCGGAGCGCCGGGCACTGAACAGATCAAGTTTGCACAGTAGGGGGCACAGGTGGTGCATCGGACAGTCATCTCAGTAAGTCGACCCATGGCACCTGGTTCTGTCCCGTGACCTGCCAGCGGGTGTTCGACACTTCACATGGCCTTAAAATGCATATGACATGGCACAAGCACCATGGTGATGTCACTGCCACCTAGTGACGAATGGCTTTTGTTGTTGTGTGTGCACTGTGTATGTATCATGTGTGTGTGTTATCGTGTATGTGCGTGTACTGTGTGTGTGTGTACCGTGTGTGTGTACTGTGTTTGTGTACTGTGTGTGTACTGTGTGGGTGTGGGAAGCGGCAGTGTAGCGGTTAGCGTTGCGCTACGGAACCCGGCAACCCGAGTTTGATTCCCGCTCATGGTGACTAACACTGGCGATGATGATCTGAACCACTCCTGGGCCTCCGCTAGGTCGACTCAGCCTCAAATAAGCACCTGGTGCGATGTGTAAATATCGCCACTGGGAAGACAAAGGCGGCCGGGAGTGGTGTGCATCAACCACCCACTTGTGTGCCAGTGCCGGCCCTGATAGGTACAGCAATTGCCCGAACAGTCTGTTAAGGCTACACGAGGATCTTTGTCTTTGTGTGTGTGTGTAATGTGTGTGTGTTCAACTTTATTTGCACCGTACGTAGCCAACCGTGCTAAATCGGAGGTGCAGGGGAAGGACAACAAACTAAATACAACATCAACAACAAGCAGTTCTAAAAAAAATAGATTTCAATTTGGTATAGTGGTGTGGAAGTGTAGCGTAAAGTAGTGTAGTAGTGTATAGAGTAGTAGTGTAGTGTATAGTATAATGTACTGTTTAGTAGTGTAGTTTTGTAGTAGTGCATAGGGTAGTAGTGTGGTGTGTAGTATAATGTACTGTATACTGTACTGCATAGTAGTGTAGTGACCAAGAGGGCCATGGCACGCGACGCACTGTCATCGCGTACACCCCGTAGGCGGGGCTTGGCGTGCGCTGGGATAGCGCGGGTACCATGCATAGCGTGTAGTGCGGGCTCCCACAGGGGGGAGTAGGAGAGTGTCAGCGCAGGGTTGCCCCGGGCCATAGCACTCTGGTTGACCCCGTAGGCACGTGATCTGGAGTGTCCACAGAGAGGGCCCCAGGTGGGGGGGGGGGGGCTAGGGGCTGATCACGTGTCCAGGGAGAGCGCTCGAGAGGGAGCTAGAAGGCTCCAGAAGGCGGGCAGGGCCGAGGGCGGAGCAGCCCCGACCCGTGGGGGGATATAAGGCGGGTCCCTGAGAGGGACCGGGGTCGCTGCATTCTACAAACTGAAGCTCCACGTCCACAAGCTGAAGCTCTACGTCCTACAAGACATCAACACATGGTCGAGGACCCGAGTGAGAGGGCCCGACCCTTCGTAGCTGTAACCCCTGGTATAGTGTAGTTAGCGGGGTGGTCACCACCCTAGGCTGTATCTGGTGAAGGGTCAGTTACCCCTTTGTGTTAGGTGTTGATGTTATAATAAAAGTGTTGCCTCCAAAGAACAACGTCTGCGACTCAGTTGGACTCACTGCAACCGGTGTCGGAAGTGGCCAACATGCTAGTTTACATAGCTAGCTGTAGACTACACGTCGCAGACCACGTACCTGGACGTCGGTGGACGAGGACCTTGTGCCAACTGCAGCTTTGGAGGATGCGCGGGAGACGCTGGCAGCGGAGCAGAGCACCTTTCAGGCGCTCGACGCTTCGACCGTCGGCGGAGGCGACCCTCCGGGAGGCACATGATCGCCTCGCGGAGCTCCTCCATGCTGCGACTTTACTCCTCGCGGAGTTCTGTCCCAGGGTCTCGCCGGTGAAGAAGGGAGCGGCGAGGCAGCTCGGGGACGACGGACTCTGCCGCCATTTCGCAGCGGGCGGGAAACTCCGTGTCGCAGCCCGCACATTCGGCCGCCATTTTGTCGCCGGCGCGGAGCACGCAGCCCGTCAAAACTGAAGATGCGCCGTCGGCGCCGAGGTACATCCCAGCTCTCTAGCGTCGACCTCACCTTGCTGGAGAGTTCGCGGCTACCAGTGACGACTGGGTGGCCTTCAAGCGGCGGTTCCTCACGAACGCCGGCTTGGCGGGGTGGACAGAGACGGAAGCGCTGCGGGCACTACCTGCCGCCCTCGATGGCGACGCCCTTGTGCCGTTTCTCGCCATCCTGCCACCAGAGAGGTCGACCCTCACACAGGCTTTCAACCGGTTGGCACCTATCTACAGGCCTCCGGCGAACGCGCGCCACAAATTCGCCACACGACGGAAGGGGGAGGGACGAGTCGGCCCTCGCCTTCCGTAGCGCGCTTTTGGCGCTGGCAAAGGCCGCCTTCCCGGAGATGGACCACGATGGCATCGGCGCATTGGTCCTCGAGAGATTGCTGGCCTTGGCGGAAACCCTCCATATCATTCTTCCAGCCGAAGATGAAGACATCTCGTCTCTACAGGTCGCTAAGTACATCCGTGCCCAACTACTTCTATAACGGGACAGGGCGCAGGTCACATGTGCCGTGTCCCGCACGGGGCCGGGGCCACCTGATGGAACGGAGCCCCTTTTGGCGTCGACTCGCGGTGGAGACGACCGGCGCGGCGATGGGGCACGGCGGTCGGACGAGCGGCGGCGGCCGAGGTCGTTGTCTCGTTCCGGTGGCAGCCGTGTTGTCTGCTACAATTGCGGACTGCCGGGGCACGTGTCATTGGGCTGCCGCCTACCACGACGGCGCCTTCCAGCATCACCGCCATCCTACGCTTCCCTACACCCTGAGGCGAGTCGCGACGCACTCCACACCCATCTAGGCATTTTGGTTCGTCAGCTCCAACCGGATCAGTGGTCGGAACTGGCCCATCGAGTGATGACTGCGTCCACGGGTTCATCCACCGTGCTTGGGTCCATTGAGGGTGTAGAATTAAGGATGCTAGTCGACACGGGTGCATCGGCAACTATCATTTCGGAGCTAATTTTCAATATTTTACCCCCTGAATGTCGGGGTCTAGACCCTGCCGATGCGCCATGTTTCGCCATTGATGGCGGCTCATTGGGCATCATCGGTCGGATAAGGGCCGAGGTGCGCATCGCTGATATTAAATTATCAGGACACATTCTTGTCTCCACTTCACTGACTGTTCCTTGTTTACTTAGAACCAATTTCCTTGGTAGGATACCATTGGAAATCTGCATTGATCGCGGCTGTTTGGAATTGCCATCCGGACGTCGTGTGGAATTTTCGCCTTCCCCTACCCGGTTGTGTGCGGCCAACGCTTCGGTGCCGATGTTTGTTCCCCTCCGCGTGAGGAAGCCGCTCATTTTCGGGTGCTACGGGGTACGCTATTGTCGCTCATACGTTGGTGTGCGACGACCAGGAACCTTTTAGTCAGGTTCTTAATTCTTGGTTGGACACCACGGTCACCCAGGAGAGTGCGGTGTTGGCTCATGCGTCGCCGAAGGGGGCATCGTCGGGAATGCGGGTGCTGCGACGATCCCGGGATATAGATCATCCCTTTCGCCTGGATCCGGCGATTGCACCGCGCGAATTTGTCTCATCTCCACATCGCTGGGGCTGAGTGTCGAGTGTGTCCGGCGACCCGGGGTGTGTGCCCGCGCCAGTTGATCCCGGGCGAAGCGATTCTGTTCCGCTCCCAGGTGCTGCGCGACTGATGTCCCTTGCGCGGTCGCACATGCCGGCTTTGCGGGCTTGGAATGCGGTGGATCCGTCGACCCAACCTGCTTCTCTCCGTGACAAGCCGGGTTCGGTGGAACATTTGCACATTCCCCCCGGGACCTCCAGGGTGAGCGAGCCCACCTCCCCTGGGGGCCCGGCACCACGCACTCGCTCAAAGACTCGTTTTTCGTGATTCCCTTGCACACACGCTCCCACGCTGTCAGTTGCTTGTTGCGCTCGCTGTGTCGTGGCGGTCATTGGCTGATCCTGGCCGCCATTGAGCTCACGAGCGTCATTACACGGTGAAGGCGGGAGGTGTGCTGGTAAGAGGGATCCCGAGGGTTTACGCGGTTTTTCATATTGCTTGTTCATGTGGTGTTGTTGTTGTTACGGGTTCGTCGGTTTACACCCTTCTCCCTGTTGGTTTGTACATTTGTAGAAAGAGTAATTTTTGTACAGGTGGATTTGGGTATTTATTTCTGTTCTGTTATTGTTGAGGCACACTATGTCTCTTGCGTTTCTATTAACTGTTCGTTTAAAAGGGGGAGTTGACAGCCGGGACAGCTGAATGCTACGAAGGTGGGGGTGATGTAGTGACATCGGGAATGTCACTGTATGGTGCTGGTGTAGTGTATAGTAGTGTGTAGTGTATAGTAGTGTATAGTGTAATATGTAGTAGCATAGTGTATAGGGTAGTTGTGTAGTGTATAGTATAATTTACTGTTTAGTGTAATTTATAGTCATGTATAGTAGAGTAGTATATAGTAGTTTAGCAATGTATAGGGTAATTGTGTAGTGTATAGTGTAGTACAGTGAGGGAAAAAAAGTATTTGATCCCCTGCTGATTTTGTACGTTTGCCCACTGACAAAGAAATGATCAGTCTGTAATTTTAATGGTAGGTTTATTTGAACAGTGAGAGACAGAATACAACAAAAAAATCAAGAAAAACGCATGGCAAAAATATTATAAATTGATTTGCATTTTAATGAGGGAAATAAATATTTGACCCCTCTGCAAAACATGACTTAGTACTTGGTGGCAAAACCCTTGTTGGCAATCAAAGAGGTCAGACGTTTCTTGTAGTTGGCCACCAGGTTTGCACACATCTCAGGAGGGATTTGTCCCACTCCTCTTTGCAGATCTTCTCCAAGTCATTAAGGTTTCGAGGCTGACGTTTGGCAACTCGAACCTTCAGCTCCCTCCACAGATTTTCTATGGGATTAAGGTCTGGAGACTGGCTAGGCCACTCCAAGACCTTAATGTGCTTCTTCTTGAGCCACTCCTTTGTTGCCTTAGCCGTGTGTTTTGGGTCATTGTCATGCTGGAATACCCATCCACGACCCATTTTCAATGCCCTGGCTGAGGGAAGGAGGTTCTCACCCAAGATTTGACGGTACATGGCCCCGTCCATCGTCCCTTTGATGCGGTGAAGTTGTCCTGTCCCCTTAGCAGAAAAACACCCCCAAAGCATAATGTTTCCACCTCCATGTTTGACGGTGGGGATGGTGTTCTTGGGGTCATAGGCAGCATTCCTCCTCCTCCAAATACGGCGAGTTGAGTTGATGCCAAAGAGCTTCATTTTGTTCTAATCTGACCACAACACTTTCACCCAGTTATCCTCTGAATCATTCAGATGTTCATTGGCAAACTTCAGACGGGCATGTATATGTGCTTTCTTGAGCAGGGGGACCTTGCAGGCGCTGCAGGATTTCAGTCCTTCACGGCCTAGTGTGTTACCAATTGTTTTCTTGGTGACTATGGTCCCAGCTGCCTTGAGATTATTGAAAAGATCCTCCCGTGCAGTCCTGGGCTGATTCCTCACCGTTCTCATGATCATTGCAACTCCACGAGGTGAGATCTTGCATGGAGCCCCAGGCCGAGGGAGATTGACAGTTCTTTTGTGTTTCTTCCATTTGCGAATAATCGCACCAACTGTTGTCACCTTCTCACCAAGCTGCTTGGCAATGGTCTTGTAGCCCATTCCAGCCTTGGGTAGGTCTACAATCTTGTCCCTGACATCCTTGGAGGGCTCTTTGGTCTTGGCCATGGTGGAGAGTTTGGAATCTGATTGATTGATTGCTTCTGTGGACAGGTGTCTTTATACAGGTAACAAGCTGATATTAGGAGCACTCCCTTTAAGAGTGTGCTCCTAATCTCAGCCCGTTACCTGTATAAAATACACCTGGGAGCCAGAACTCTTTCTGATTGAGAGGGAGTCAAATACTTATTTCCCTCATTAAAATGCAAATCCATTTATAACATTTTTGATATGCGTTTTTCTGGATTTTTGTTGTTGTTATTCTGTCTCTCACTGTTAAAATAAACCTACCATTACAATTATAGACTGATCATTTCTTTGTCAGTGGGCAAACGTACGAAATCAGCAGGGGATCAAATACTTTTTTCCCTCACTGTAGTACTGTAGTGTATAGTAGTGGTTAGTATAATGTACTGTATAGTGTTCTGTATAGTAGTGTAGTGTGTAGACATGTCTTGTACAGTGTAGTGCACGTGCTAAACTTCTTTCAGAACCGTAATTAGCCAACCACGCTAATCAGAAGTACGCGGGCGGGTGGGGAGGGAGTGAAGGGGGGAGGAGGGGTGGCGAGGGGACATCAAACGACGAACGACGTTGGGTCTCCGCATGTAACCCCCCCCCCCCCCCCCCCCCCCGGCTCCTCACCGTCACCGTCGTCGTCTTCCAAGATCACTTCGATCTCCGCTGAACCCGACGACGATGCCGCGACAGCCGCGGCGTCTTCCGTCCGCGGCGCTCGGGGCCTGGCGGCGGAACCGCAGTCGGCCGCGGGGTTCCGGAGGACTCCTCCGGGGAAACGGAGGCCTGCCTCGACGACGTGAAGGTCCCTCGGTCTGGGGCGGTATTCACCGTCCACGAGCTTAAGTCGTTCTTTTGCGCCGCCGAAAACCTCCGCCTCCTCCTCTTTGATATGAATGTCGGCTCCTGAGACGGAGGCATTTCCGCTTTGAGCGCTACGCATCACCACGCGAACTCCGCTCATCCTCACAGCAGCAACAGCGGCGGCTTTTAGCCACATCATCGCGCCGCGCTTTCAGATGTATAGATATGACACTATACACTAGATTACTATAGACTACACTATTACACACTAGACTACTATACACTACTATACACTACACTACTACACGTGACTATACACTAGACTATTATACACTACACTACTATACACTACACTAATATACACTACACTACTACACACTACACTACTATGCACTACACATTTGGCTCTATGGAGGCCCGTCGTTAAGCGATAAGTTGTTAGCAGGGGTGGTCGTTAAGAGGGGTTCTACTGCATAATGTACCGTATATATTTGACACTGAAATTAAGCGTAGCTACTTTGTCACACACACGTGGTGCCAATCGTCGGACTGGGTTACAGCCTTTGAAACGGTTTTGCCGGATTGGGCCAGGACCAGCCGGATAATGTTGGAAGCAGCTGGATGTAATCGCGTGGCGGATAATCGACGATCAACTGTAGCCTCAGGATGTCTCCAGACTCCACCATGCCAGTCAGTGGTGAGATGACGCTTACTGTGACGGGAGTCGCTGCCCTCCAATTTCACCTCCAGCAATGCCCCACTGACAGGCCCTCCTGAGTCTCCTCTTCGCTTGAGTCGCAAAGACGGGGCCACCACGGCTCCTGTCTCAAGGGAGGGCAGCACGGCAGTGGGAGGCTCAGGATAACGCCGCTCACGCCGTCGTCTGTGGCGGGGAGTTTGCACAGTGAGGGAGGTTACGCAGCTGGGTGCATCGGCACAGTTATCTCAGTCAGTCAACCCATGGCACCTGCTGGGTCTGTCCTGTGACCTCCTCCTACACCTAGCCTGGCGCAGCAGTCAACCCATGGCACCTGCTGGGTCTGTCCCATGATCTTCCCCTCCTGCACATAGCCTGGCATAGCAGTCAACCCATGGAACCTGCTGGGTCTGTCCCGTGATAACCTCCTGTTGTCGGCAGGGAGCCTTCGCCACTTCACGTGATGGCCTCAAAATTGCACCGTGACTGGCACAAGCGCCGCGATGACGTCATCGCCACTTAGTGGAGGTTGTTGTTGCTGCAGCAAGGAGCGGTGGGGCAGCGGTTCGCCTTGCGCTGCTGTGCTACGAACCCCGACAGAGACCCGAGTTCAATTTCTGATCACGGCCAACACCAACCACCGTTTCCTGAGCTCCGTCCCCTAGGTCGACTCAGCCACAAATTAGTTACCTGGTGTGCGGTGGTGTGTGTGGTAAACATCATTACTAGGGGAAACAAAGGCGGCCGGGCAGGCGTGGTGTTGGCCACCCACCCCCTCATGTGCCAGTGCCGGCTTTCATAGGTACTACTACTCGCTATTAACAGCACTTACCCCAACAGTCTGGTACAGGCTACACGGGGGATCTTTGTCTTTGGTGGAGTTAGTGGTGGTGGAGGTGGTGGTGGAGATGGAGGTGGTGGTGGGGGAGGTGGTGGAGCAGGTGGTGGTGGTGGAGGTGGTGGTAGGGGTGCGGGAGGTGGTAGAAATGGTGGTGTAAGTGGTGGAGGTGGTGGTGGAGGAGGTGGTGATGTTGCTGGATGAGGTGGTGGTGGTGGAGGAGGAGGTGGTGGAGGTGGTGGTAGAGGAGGCAATGCTGCTTGCTTCACAGTAGCTGCTGCTCACTACAAACACCACTCGCCCCAACAGTCTATCACTGATATACGTGGAGCGGGGGGGTATTTGTCTTCGTGTCTCTAACAGCGAGCAGGAGTCCAACTCAGACTCACCGGCGGCGACGTCGTCTTCACGGCTCAGCACGCCCCCTCCGAGGAGTGCCGTCTTCCATCCTGGGTGCTCGTCAGCCTCCCGCTTGATCCCCCACTCTGCAGACATCCTTACTCCTCACCTGTCAACGCACACAGGAGGCTCCTTCATGGTCACGGCAAATACAGTCACACTAATCGAGGCCCATACTAAAACATTTTTATTTCATTTTAACGGGTGTAAGGCACCCACACTGAGCTGCGTGGCTCTTTGGTCAGAAGCGACGCTGGCTATCTGTCACACGTGTAGAGGAGTGAAATACGCGGTGCGCACACCTAACCGAGGGCAACTGAGGGCAAACAGGTGCGCGTGTGCAACATGAGGTTGCACGGACAAAGCTCCAGTTGTTAAGGGGCGAAGCAGGTGCAAATGGGGTCGACCGGTTGTGCACGTCAAGGCCGGAGGTGTTGCCAGGGAGATGGGAGATAATGGTTGATTGGTTGATGGGCAAACAGTGCGCCAGCCTGGCTGAGCTTAAGGAGACACACGAGAGGTCTCGGATAATTGGCAGGGGGATATAAGTGACCATACAGATAGTTATAGGAGTGCCTACAACTGGTGCAGGAATAGGTGAATAAAGTGTAAGCAGGTGACTTGTTACAACGTGTCGGTGTGAGTCATTTTTGAACACACTACACACGTAATGATGGCAGCTCCAACGAAGTGGGCTGATATCATCATCATCACGTAGGAATTTACTGCAGTCAAAATACTCTCTAAACGCATGGTGAAAAATCCTCGCAGCCACCACGGGGAGAGAGAGACATGCAAACTCCAAATATACAACAGGCATCGTCAGGGTCCGGAAACGAACCTACGACCTCCTGCATACCAGGCGAAGTAGTTAACATCTCCCTAGAAACCATGGCATCAGGTACGGGATCGAACCCACGACCTACTGCATACCAGGCGAAGTAGTTAACATCTCCCCAGGAGCAGGAACAGCAGCAAGGTGAGCAGTAGCAGCAGAAGCAGCAGTGGTCCCGGCCTCGTGAGTTCCACAGCGAGAGGTGGTGGTGGAGGTGGTGATGGTGGTTGTGGTGGTGGAGGTAGTGGTGGATGTGGTGAAGGTGGTGATGGTGGTGGTGATGGAGGTGGTGGTGGAGGTGGTGATGGTGGTTGTGGTGGTGGAGGTAGTGGAGGAGGTGGTGGTGAAGGTGGTGGTGGATGTGGTGAAGGTGGTGATGGTGGTGGAGGTGGTGGTGCTGGAGGTGGTGATGGTGGTGGAGGTGGTGAAGGTGGTGAAGGTGGTTGTGGTGGATGTGGTGAAGGTAGTGGAGGTGGAGGTGGTGGTGAAGGTGGTGGTGCTGGTGGTGGTGCTGGTGGTGGCGGTGCTGGCCACCCACCCAGTCGTGTGCAGGAGGAGGCGGCGGTGGCAGGGAGCGGACCTCCCTGCAGAAGGAGACGGACGATGAGGAGGAGGAGGGGGAGGAGTTCGGTCGGAAGGAGGCGGAGCGAGGGGTGCCGTCGGTTGACCCCCGGGGGGTCACCGAGAGGCGGAGCGTCAAGTAGATCAAACGGACAGCAGCACGGCGGCTAGATGCGCAAATCGACGGGTCACTTGGAGTTGAAGTCGCTGGCTCGACGTTGGGCCGTGAGCGGAACATTGGGCCAATGTTGGCTGAACGTTACCCCAACGTTGGCTCAACGTTACCTCAACGTTGGGCCAACATTAGCGGAACATTGGGCCAATGTTGGCTCAACGTTACCCTAACGTTGGGCCAACGTTCGCGGAACGTTGAGCTCAACGTTAGCCCAACATTGGGCCAACGTTAGCGGAACGTCGGCTCAACGTTCGGCAAAACGTTGAGCCAACGTTGGCCCAACGTTATATTGTTAACTGCGGGTGTAAGCCTGGTCCCTAGCTTCACCGAATTTAGTTGTTTGTGTGTGTGTGCTGACGGTGATTTACGTCCGAGTCAACCTAGACGTGGCACATTTATAGGCTTCTGATCAGTTATCAAAATCAGAATCTTGCATTTAGACTGCAGGAGGAGGTAATCCGATGAGCTATAAAGCTCTTTGCTTATCGTTGTCCCAGTACGGGGGGCACGGCAGTCAGAACGTTACAACAACAACCACAATACTCACACAATCGGAGTGCAAAGTATAGCAAAGGTAAACAAATCGCTTGCAACAAAAACAATTATGTATTTTCTTGCTGTGGTTTTCACACCTGATGATGATTGCTTGTGTTGCAGTCGAAACGTCGTGAGAATTTTATTGTTTTATATTTTTATTATTTTATTGTTTCCCTTCTACGTGACTTCACCGAAAGAACCAAGAATACAATTATGTATGTTACCAGGTAGCTCTTTTTTTCAGAAGCAAACCTGGCCATCACAAACTAAAGTCTATAAACTTTTAAACTCTTGACTTAAAGCTTTCGTGACTGCAGGAATTCATATTCTTTGGGTCTTTCGGTAAAGTCACGTGGATAGGTTCAAAGAAAATAACAAAAAAACAAAAAGCTACGACGAAACGTAGCTTTTTATTTTCTTTGAACCTATCTACGAGACTTTCCCGATAGACCTAAAGAATAAAAACTTTTGTTTCACCAGGTAAGGCTCCATTGAGCTGTGTAGCTCTTTTTCAGAAGCGACCTGGCTATCACACACTCAACTATGTGCCTGTTACATTATGAGACCTCCTTTGCCAGTAACAAGATATAGGAATAGGTTTTTTACCCTTTTAGCTGGCACAAAAACTGACACCTTTATACAAGGGATCATGTTTGCAATAACCACAACACAAGCAGTCAAAAATGCAAACAAAAATAAAGCCTTATGGTGTCATCCGGTCCAACACCAGTGGAGACTGGGCTCTAAGAAAAGCCGTCTCGAGTGGACCAATCAAATTCAAGGGCAGTGCATATCATCAGAGTTGTTTAATTACATCAATATAATAAATGTACTCAATATATTCAATAAGCTGAGCTATTAACAGTAACTGGGTATACACTACACTATATAATGAATACCATATAGTAAACCAATAAAAACTAAAATATAAACTACCTCAATGTTATCAATAAACTATATATATTCTCCAATCAGCCTGTTCCTTTCACCTGAAGAAGGCCACTTGTGTTGTGGCCAAAACGTGAGAATTGTATTATTTTATTTTATTAATTGATTATTTTATTCTCATTCTATGTGACTTTACCGAAATAACCAAAGAAGATGAATCCTTGCAGTCACGAAAGCTTTAAATCGAAACAGGATTTCTACACAAATCTGGCTGTCGCCTGATGAAGCGAGTTGTAATTACTGGTGAAACGTCGTACTCAGATTGTAAATGTTGTGGCTTTGCTCTCCAACACACCGGTGTGCTGTACTATTAACGAAGAATTGGCACGTTCTGTTTACGTGACAAACCTTACTAATTGGCTGTGACGGGTGGTGGCGGCTTTAACGACAAATTTGTATATTTACGTGATCTAACCCAAAAAACTGTATTTTGCATGTTTCTTTTAATATTATGCATTTATAATGTTGTTAGTATCTTTATGTATTAATATCCATTGTTTGAATATTATGAAGTACTTTTTGGGGTGAGAAAGTGTAACTTTCGATGCTATTGGAACGAATTGAGCCTTTAACGTGTATTTATATACTCGCTTAACGACCAAATCAACGAACGTCCGGTTTCGTGGAACCAACCACCGTCATTAAGAGGAAGACTTCTACTCTAACGACAACCATTTTAGCTTTCAACAAATCTAGCTTTACGCTTCTGAAGCTGATATGCGTGTCGTGTAAACTGTCACCACCACCACCACGGATGGCTGTAGATTAGAATTCAAATTTCCAAGCCCCCCAATAGTAACTTCTCCGAGCAACCCCACATGATTCTCGGGGGACCTTGTGACCCACGCGCATCAGTACCACGCCCTCAGCCAATCAGCGGCAAGCCTGGCACTCTGTGCGCCACTGGAACGGCAGCACCCTCACGTGTTCGCGAGTACTGGACTAGCGAGTATTTCGCGTATTCTCGAGCAACTGAGTGTGTACAAGCAACCCCACCCGCGACCTCGTCGGACGCCAGCATGTTAAGTCCCACGGTTAACCAAAGTAACTGTTCATCGAATTCACGTATACGTTGGAAAAAATATTTTTTTAAATCACTGAGGTCTGCACTAGAGAGAGCTGTTTTTTACTGCCAAAACAGAAAACGCGATGTAAAGAAAGCCGGTCGAGGTCTAAACCGCTCATAAATCGGCGTTGCCGATTGGCTGAGGGCGTGGCTCAGCCCTGCTTACAAGCACTCGGATTGGCCAAAATTGGCACCCGCATGCGTATAACGTAGACGTACCGGCAGGGAATATTTTTGTAACGTTCGTCGGAGCCACGGGGGTGCTATGGGAGGCGAAACGTTAACCACAAAAAACGTTAACCAATGTCACTGTTAACCGAGGGACTCCAGTTTTGGGAGTCTACTTAGTGCCTACAGACCACCCACACCAGGGGAGGTGGGCGCAGAATGTTGCTTACATTTGAAACCGTCTGCTGCGAAGATTAGACATGGCCCATCGGCTGCCCGCTTAGTTGCACGGTGGCTATGAGATATTATCTCCCTCGCCTGGTATACAGGAAGTCGTGGGTTCGATCTCGACCGTAACCCATGCTGTATATTTGGAGTTTGCGTGTTCTCTCTCTCCCCGTGGTCGCCTGGATTTTTCTCCGGGTCCTCCGGTTTTTCCCTCCACATTTATATTTCACTACCGGTGTGGCTGCCAATCTCGCTTGTCAACTTTTTAAAGTATTTATTTTATTGATGTTCATCTTCTATTTATTTATTACATTATCCTTTTTTTAAGCTTTTAACGATTTTACCTGAACTTTAGTTCGGTTTAATAATATATGTTAAGTTCAAAGACTAGTCAGCTTTATGGCCTCTCTTTTGCCGACCTATGCAGCCTGCTCTTGCCTTAAAGCACACCATTTTTCGAGTTCCTGGTTTGTGAGCTGCTACCGTCTCCGGCCTGCCGACCATCATTCCTGCATACAGATCTGCACTGACCACAGATAACACCTACTTCAGCAACGTCACTGATAGAGGTCACGGTAACCCATAGAGTCCTCTTCGAAGTTGTCAACAAACTCATACAACCCCCTGTTAATTTCTCTACCATCTCTGCTATCGAGGATTGCAACACATACAGTGAGGGAAAAAAGTATTTGATCCCCTGCTGATTTTGTACGTTTGCCCACTGACAAAGAAATGACCAGTCTATAATTTTAATGGTAGGTTTATTTGAACAGTGAGAGACAGAATAACAACACCAAAATCCAGAAAAACGCATGTCAAAAATGTTATTAATTGATTTTGCATTTTAATGAGGGAAATAAGTATTTGACCCCCTCTCAATCAGAAAGATTTCTGGCTCCCAGGTGTCTTTTATACAGGTAATGAGCTGAGATTAGGAGCACACTCTTAAAGGGAGTGCTCCTAATCTCAGCTTGTTACCTTTTTTTTAAAAGACACCTGAATCATTTGGCGGGACCTCGGGGTCCCGCAAAAATCAGGTCAATTATTATTTTTCAGTCCGCCCACTCGTGATCCCGACAGAAACACGCCGCCCGCCCAGACTCGCGCCAGCAAGCGCCACCAGCAGGCGGCGATCAACACGATGGGTGCAACCCCACCGGCCAAACGCAAGCCCGGGCGTCTGCCGCAGTCGCGCGCGGCGACAACGCCCTCTTGTCAGCCGTCAATCCTCAGCTTCTTTGCCAAGGCGAGCCCGCCCCCGCAGTGAATTTAACGTGTTTATGTAATTTTTCAACTTTTTACGAAACTTAGTGCCCCGAGTAGCTCTCGACGAGGCCAATCGATTGACACTAGTTTTGTTGTCGGTAAGGCAAGACTCGTGTCGCTACGCGGTTTTTCCCACCCCGGGGCAGTGATGGGACCTCGGGATCCCGCCAATTGCTTCACCTGTCCACAGAAGCAATCAATCAATCAGATTCCAAACTCTCCACCATGGCCAAGACCAAAGAGCTCTCCAAGGATGTCAGGGACAAGATTGTAGACCTACACAATGCTGGAATGGGCTACAAGACCATTGCCAAGCAGCTTGGTGAGAAGGTGACATTTGGTGCGATTATTCGCAAATGGAAGAAACACAAAAGAACTGTCAATCTCTCTCGGCCTGGGGCTCCATGCAAGATCTCACCTCGTGGAGTTGCAATGATCATGAGAACAGTGAGGAATCAGCCCAGAACTACACGGGAGGATCTTGTCAATGATCTCAAGGCAGCTGGGACCATAGTCACCAAGAAAACAATTGGTCACACTACACCGTGAAGGACTGAAATCTTGCAGCGCCTGCAAGGTCCCCCTGCTCAAAAAAGCACATATACATGCCCGTTTGAAGTTTGCCAATGAACATCTGAATGATTCAAAGGACAACTGGGTGAGAGTGTTGTGGTCAGATGAGACCAAATGGAGCTCTTTGGCATCAACTCAACTCGCCGTGTTTGGAGGAGGAGGAATGCTGCCTATGACCCCAAGAACACCATCCCCACCGTCAATCATGGAGGTGGAAACATTATGCTTTGGGGTTGTTTTTCTGCTAAGGGGATAGGACAACTACACCGCATCAAAGGGACGATGGACGGGGCAATGTACCGTCAAATCTTGGGTGAGAACCTCCTTCCCTCAGCCAGGGCATTGAAAATGGGTCGTGGATGGGTATTCCAGCATGACAATGACCCAAAACACACGGCCAAGGAAACAAAG